AGACCACGAAGCAGTCCCTGGAGGCCCTGGATGTACTGATGGAAAACAAGGCCAACTTACAAACAGTATCGCGACCTGCTGCTGAAGGAAGAGTTCACTACAGCGCCCGTCGTCCCTTACCTCGGTAGGCATTCTCCACCAGCCTACTAACTGCCCCACGGCAGCACCATAGCTAATTTTGGTGTGGTGGCGTATGCATCAGGTCTCTACCTCAGGGATCTGACGTTCATCGACGAGGGGAACGCCGACCGCGCAGACGAGCTCATCAACTTCGAAAAGCTGGTGATGCAGGGTGACATCATCCTGCAGATCGCCAAGTGGCAACAAAACGGGCGCTACGACTTCAAGCCCGACCCCGAGCGTCAGCTCTCCCTCACCAAGCTTCTCGTCCTGCCCGAAGACATCCTGTACAAAAAGTCCGAGGCCATCGAGCCCTCCTCGCTGCCGCACACCCAACTATAGGAGCCCTATTGGCCTCTTTCATACTGCTCTCGTCCAATAACAACGTTGTTGGCTCTCCAAATATGTATATGTAATCATCTATTTGTCAATATACACTTACGACGGGGTCCACCGGCAACCTTGGTCGCCATTCCCCAGAGCGTACGGGAAGAGCATGCACATCAGGTCGGGCGGCAGGGTGCGCGCGCACCGGTCCCTGCTCCAGTAATCGCTGAAGCCGCCCTGGATGAACGACAGGACGAGGTCCTTCAGGCTGGGCACCGCCTGCAGCGGGAACTCCCACAGGAAGCCACCGCGCTCCGTCTCGGCGCCGTTGGACGAGCCGACGTAGAAGCTGTGCCCGTCGGCCGAGAAGGCGCCACCGGATATGAAGGTGTGGATGGGGGCGGGCAGGCCCGAGGGATCCTCGACCACAGCGCAGGAGGGCAAGTGGTCGGGCAGGTGGATCGTCTGGCGGGCGTTGAGGCCGATGTCCACGACCTGGACGTAGTCGACCGATTGGAAGATGAGCAGCTTCTCGGCCGTGGCCGGGCACGCGCTGAACCGCACCAACGGCACGGTACCGGCTTGCTTATTGTTGGGAAGCGTCACTGACAATCATCGTGTGAGTGTGCCGACTGTTTGATGGCGGTGAGATAGCAGTGAGCCAGCACAGTACCTCCAGTACCCACCGGCACGTCAGAACGATCGGGGTTGCCCAGATTCCACACTATTTGTTCCAGTACAATGCTGTTGGGTTCGTTCTGGTCTCGCATGCTGTAGATCTGACCCTCCTCCCACATGAGAAAAACAAAGAAAGGGAAGTGAAGCATGTGCAGCTGCCAGGAGTACCTGGCAGCAACCGGCCTCGCTGGAGACCGCAAACCTGCTCGAGCCGAGATTCCACGAGACGTTATTGTTGCCCGCCAGGCAAGGAATCGCATGGACGAAGGTGTACTCGCCTTGGCTGACGTCACAGATGAACACCGATGGCGAGTCTCCAGCCATGACCTTGTCGAATTATAACACAGAATTGGGGTTCAGTTCGCACCCATGCGCATCACTGGCCAGGACGAATGGACGTACCAACCACTTGCCGTTGGGGCTGACGGCGACTCCGTTGATGGTCGTCATCTCTTCAGGGTCTGGCAGTTGGGCGGACACCCACTTGCGCAAGAGCACCCGCATATCGGGAAAGGAATATACTGCCGGCCGCCGCGGGTTGGTACGAGCCCTGTGGACCAACAGGTGGCTAGGCAAGCGCACCTTGAACAGTCTCCAGGAACGAGTTGCTACAGACGATCAATCTCGGCTGTCCTTGCCACACATGGAGCGCCAGGTTGTTCGCCCAAGTGCCGGGCAGCTTGCAGGTACGCAACACCTGTTGTTGGCGCAACCAACACGAGAACGCATAAACGCATGAGCGCCAAGAGCATTCATCTGAATGTACGCTTACCTTGCCGCTGATCAAGTCCACGATGACAAGCTCGCCACCGATGCCCCCCACCACCAAATACTTGTCGAGGATCACCTTGTGGCTCACTATCTCCCAACCGTCCCACCTGCGAGTGTCGTACTTGTCATCAGTTCCTCCTCTCCGATCGGGGAGCAAGAAAACTCGTCCTCGCACCTGAACACACGACCATTCTCAATGTCGTCCACCAGGCACGGCGAAGGATCCACAAGAGGAGGAGCAACCGTCGTCCGTAGGTAATAGTCCCTCTAGGTGGAGTAGTACAACGTAAGGGCCGTGGAGTCGTGGTGGTGGTGGTGATGGGACCTGCCACTACTGTGCGTACCTGGCTGGAGCGTGGGTCAAAACGGAGGATGGAGAATTTCTGGTTCACAAAGATCCAGTTCCTCCAGGCGCACAACCCGTCTCTGAGTTGTCGGTGGGCATGGTAAGTTGTCTCTGGTACCACCTGCTCGAGCGGACCAACAAGCGAACAGGCTTCGCCCAGGCCAGGCTGCGTAGTGGGAAATCCCTCGAACAGAGGAAGTTCTGGCTCGTCCATCGCAAGCCACGCAGGATCTTCCCCGTCGAGCTGATTGTCCTAAGACCTGACCGCAAGTCGCCGATCGTAACCTACTCCTACAGAAGGAGGAGAAGGAACCTGTCCTGCAAATTTGCCAGAGATTTAAAACTGGAAATTTCATCACCTGAAATAAGAAAATAAGTTTCTTTTTGTTTCCTTTTCCCACAGTATGCGGCGGTCATGTCTGGGGTGGGGGCGCCCACGCCAGGCTGCCTCTCCAGCTCTTCATCTTTATGATGCCTTTCGTTTCGGGCACCGTGGGTACCGGCAGCTGCTCACTGACCGCAGCTTCGATGTACACCCCCCTGGGGGCCCAGGAAATGGTATACTGGTGGTGGGCTTACCATGTGCGGGCACAGGGCGCGGTAACGGCACTGGGTTCACTCGTGTCGAATGCGCAGGCCATGGAGGCCTGGGCACGGGAGCGACGCACCAACAGAGAAGTTGACCTGCGCCACGAAATGCTGACTCTCCTCCGACGCTTGGAGCTGGACGTGCGTTCTCCACTTTCTTTTTTCTCTTTGCTAAAAATAATTTTAAATTAACACGATATTCAAACGGCCCAAGGTGGATCGACTGTCGTGCGTGCATGTAGCGGGCACCAAGGGCAAGGGTTCCACGTGCGCATTTGCCGAGAGCATTCTGCGGCGTGGCTACGGCCTTCGTACGGGCCTCTTCACCTCTCCTCACCTCGTCGACGTTCGGTATGATCACAACCTCATGCTGTCCATATTCAGTGGCGCTGCTGCTTACACGGTGACGAACACGCCCAGAGAAAGAATCAGACTTGATGGGAAGCCGCTGGAGCGGGACGTGTTTGCCAGGTACTTCTGGGACACGTGGGACAGGCTCCACGCCACTACTCAGGTACGCACGACGCTCGCTTGGCACGTGCGTGGCTGGCCTGACGGCTGAGATCGCGCAGGGCAATGAAACGCCAGAGATGCCAGCATACTTCCGCTTCTTGACGCTCATGTCCCTTAACGTGTTCATCAGAGAAGAGGTGCGTACCAATACCATTGCGGGAGGGTGATATGCTGCTCCTCAAGCTAACTACAATGTTGGTCAATGGGCCAACAATCCCACTCTCTTTCAGGTGGATGTAGCGTTGGTGGAGGTGGGTGTTGGCGGGCGCACGGATGCCACGAATGTGGTGCAGCCTGACGCGTGTGGAATCTCTTCGCTCGGGTACGACCATCAAAAGGTGTTGGGTGACACCCTCACCGAGATCGCCTACGAAAAGGCCGGGATATTTAAGGTGCGTTCCCGCTGCTCTACAAACCTGCACTGTATCAAACGCTCACGATCTCTCTGTCGTTAACGCGCCAACGTCCAGACTGGAGTGTCTGCCTACACTGTGCCCCAGACCGACGAAGCGATGCAAAGTCTCGTCAAACAGGCCGCAATCAAGAAGGTTTGCTTCTCATCAGACAGCTGAGTGCACTCGCAATGCCATACCACCACATAAGGCTTACAATGCATTTTGTGTGGGCCAGGTAGATCTCAGTGTAGTTCCTCCCATCGAAGCGTGGGGCAAGCACTGCACGCTCGGTAAGCATAGCATCTCCAACAATGACCAATCGATCGCCACCTCATTCTCACGCACGTCAACCCTTTCGTGTCCTAGGCCTCCTCGGCGAGTTTCAGAAGAACAACGCATCCCTCGCCGTTGCCCTGTGCAGGCAGTGGTTGCGAAACAACGCGGAGCGACTACCCCCGCACATCGACCGCCAAGAACTCGCCCCCTTCCTGCGAAGCACTGGGCCGTCGTCTGAGCTGCCCGCCGGCTTCGCGAAGGGACTCCGAGAATGCCGCTGGCCGGGCCGAGCCCAGCTGCTCCGACTCCCCACCGGCCCTGGCGACGCCGAAGAGAACTCCCACAACCGCGGGGAAGACGAGCTGTGGCTGCACCTGGACGGAGCGCACACCGAGGAGAGCATGGAGGCCTGCGCCCGCTGGTTTATCGACTCGTCCTCCCGAGACCAGGACGACGCCGACAGCAGCAGCGACGCGCAGGAGCGGCGGGTGCTCATCTTCAACTGCCACCAGAATCGATCGGCCTCGAAGCTGTTGGCCAGGCTGGTCGACACCATGTCGGGCAGCGCGGGGCCGGGTCGGGGAGTGCCCTTCGACGCGGTGATCTTCAGCACGTTTGCCACCCGGCCTGGCTCTGACGCTGGCGGGAGTGGTGGTCGCCCAGTGGTCGGTGAGGCCCCCGACAAGGACGGCCGTTCGTGGCAGCAGACGCAAGCCGACGCCTGGAAGAGCCTGAACCGAACCGACCAAGGCCCGGCAGCAGAGGTGACCGTGGCCGATTCCATCCCTGCTGCTCTCGATTCCGTCGTGGGTCTCCACAAGCGGTGGTGGCACCACGATCGCTGCGCTAGTGGTGGGCAGAGGGGGAAGACACGGGTGTTGGTGACGGGATCGCTGTATCTGGTGGGCGGCGTGCTGGAGGTGCTCCTCCGCCGCAACGCTCTCCCCGCCTCTGCCCTCCACCTCTAAAGTACAGCGCGACAACACAAAATAAATTAAAATAAAATCTGGCTGGTTGCTAAGCACCCATCAAAGCAAAAGGCGGTGTGGCCACGGTGGGTGTAGTTTCAGTTCTTCTGCTTCCCTCTCATCTGACAGTACAATGATGCGGATAAGAAGTGGTTCTGGCACCACTGGTGCTGGAGGCGGTAAACAGAATGGCGGGCGCCTCTTTGTCCTCTCCTCGTGCGAAGAAATCTTGAACTGGCTTCGCGCCTCCCTGCCACTCCACGGTGCGCTCCCCCCCCGCTTCTTTGTTCTCCCTTCCGTTCCAATTGTATCAAATATTAAATAATGAAATAGTATTAAAATAAACAACTAATAAAAATTTGATATAATTTGCTCTTCGCCCAGTCGAAGCCGTGGCGGCAGAGAGAGCGAACATGACACGAGTGGTGGAGCAGGCCGGACTCGGCGCGGTGGCGGTGGTGCACGTGGGGTCCGACGGCGGCTTCGACCTCCCCGACGCGCTCCACCCCGACGTGCTGCCGCTGGCGCTCGCCCACGACCTGCCCATCATCGGTACGATGCCCACCCCGCACACCGCACCGCACACTCCTCACCGCGGCGGTGGGCCACAGTGGTGAGCCAGCGCGGCCTGGGCGAAGCCGACACGGAGGCGCTGCTGGGGGTCGGCGGCGTGGCGGACGTGGCCAGCGTGGACGTGGTGCCGCCGTCGCTCCTCCGCCGCCGGCTGCAGGCCCACATGGCCCTCGCTCGCGCCCGTCACCAGTCGCAGCTGTCGCCCGCTCCCTCGTGGCAGTCCCTCTCCGGCCAGCTCCTCCTCCAGATGGAGCGCGTCGCCCAGCCGCGTCCCAGCGACTCGGGCGATCGTGGCGCCGTCAAGGAGCGCCCTGGTGGCGCTGGTGATGAACACGATGACAATGATGATGGCAACGATGATGATGGCGGTGAAGAGGAAGATGAGGCTGCTGGTGCTGGGCAGGGCAAGGAGAAGCGGAGCAGCGGCGATCGGGTGCACCGCATCGCAGACGGCAGTACGCCGCACCACCTGTCGGTCGTGGAGAGCGTCCTCCTCCAGCTCGACCAGCAGGGCCGCGCGGTACTACCTCCCACTGCTCAGCGCGGCGGCAGCGGCGGCAGCGTTGGTGATCATGTCCGACTCACGTGCTGCTGGCCACCAGTTCGCGGCGGACTACCCGGAGCTGAGCCGGCTCGTGGTGCGCCTGCTGCGGGACCTCTACTCGCCCGAGTCCACCGTCTTCCAGCCCGTACCTACCACCACCCTCCCCACACTCGCGCGTGGTCATGGTTGTGGTTTTCGTTGCGGGGGTTAATACGCACCCGTGTGTGCATGCCTGGTTCCAGGGCGAGGACCTGTTCAAGGACAAGTGCGCGGACAGCGCCACGCGGGAGTGGATCGTGGAGACCTACACCCGGCGCCCATCGCTGGCCGAGTGCCTCATGACCTCGCCCGCATCCGGCGGGTCCCTCAAGCGGTCTCTCTCCCTCAGCCAGGCCGGCCGTACGCCCCCGCACCCCATCTGACAGCCCTTGGGGAGTCGTCCGCACACGCACACGCACACGCACACGCACACGCACACAGACACAGACACACTTTTCACATTCCTGGCCACACCCTTCCAGGCGCGCTCAAGAGCTGGCAGTTCAACGCGTTCGACTGCTCGGAGGACACGCTCGAGTCGCTAATCCCCGAAATATTCAACGCCGAGCTGCAGCTGCTCAAGCTGTTCGACGTGCGACCTCTCGTCCTCGTTCCTCGTTCTTCTCGTCCGGTGGGTGACAACTGTACCCTTGTGTCGTGTGGTGCTGGTGTGTGTGTGTGTGTGTGTATATGTGCAGGTGCCGATGGCCGTGTTCTGCAATTTCGTGCGGGAGGTGCGGCGGCACTACCAGGCCAACCCCTACCACAACTTCGTTCACGCGTTTGACGTCCTCCAGACGGTCTACTCACTCCTCGTACGTGGGCAAACTGCATTACCTCTGCAGCTCTCGCTCTCACTAAGTGGTTTCGTCCGGCCAACAGTTCATAACCGATGCGGTCAACTTCCTCACCGAGCTGGACATCTTCGCGTTGCTGGTGTCGGCCCTGTGTCATGACCTCTCCCACCCCGGTACGTGAACGAGCACCACTGATTCCGAGTGTTCAGGCGGGCTAACACTCGTCACACACACACGCACGCACACCACCACACCACCACCACACACCCACACCACACACAACTAACACTACTGGCAGGAACCAACAATGCGTTCCAGGTGAACAACCTGACATCGCTCGCGCTGCTGTATAACGACGTGTCGGTGCTGGAGAACCATCACGTCGCCACGCTCTTCCGCATCGTCAACGATCCAGCGGCCAACGCCGACATCTTCGCCCGCCTCAGCAAGGAGCAGTTCAGGGAGGTGCGGGCCGTCATCATCAAGAGCGTTCTCGGCACCGACATGAGCTACCACTTCGAGTCCACCAACCTCTTCAAGGCCCGGTACCACCGAGATCTCCCGCCACTCGCAATGTGCCGTGCGTGGTCGCTCACCTGCTCGACGACAGAACGTGTGCGCACAGGGACCCGGAGGACAGAGCGAGCGCGAGTCTTAGATCAGGTACGTACCACCTGCGCAGTGCCCATGTATTGCTCAGGCGAGAGAGAGCTCATGCGGCTTTGACTCACCACTCCCCCCTTCCCGCACTCACAAAGATGTGAAGGACGATCGTCAGCTGGTCATGAAGATTTTGCTGCACACGGCCGACATCAGCAACCAGGCCAAGCCCTGGTGCGTACCCGCTCCACTCGCAGTGCTGTGCCGCCTCCGTCCGGGAGAGTACACGTGTTCACTCTCTGGAGCTTACTCTGTTGCTGCTGCTGATGCGGTGCAGGGAAGTGGCCTCGCGATGGGCGGTCAAGGTGACGGAGGAGTTCCTGGCGCAGGGCGAGCTCGAGCGACTAGCCGGCGGCCCCATCTCTCCCGGCATGGACAAGACCCTGGTCAAGATGGTACGTCTGGCCCAGTACCCCGCATGCTCTTTTGTTATTCTTCTTTTTTTTTTGAAGTACTGGTGGCTGACCCCCGTGTGCAGGAGCAAATGACGGCCAACTTCATCGAGCTGGTGCTGGAGCCCCTCTTCTCGGCGCTGGTGGCCTACTTCCCCGCCATGGGACCACAGCACGCCCTCCTCCTCGCCAACAAACGCAAGTGGCGCGGCCGCGATGCAGCCTAGCCCCTTCAACCCCCCTCCCTCCCGCATGTACACCCAGCTTTAAACCAACATCTACGTGTTTACAAACCTACACCACACGCCCACGAGACCTGCCCGCGTCCTGGTTAGAGGGCGGGGAACCATTCGTGGCCGTCGGAGGTATCGGCCTCCTCGAGGCTCTTGACCTCGAGGACGAGCTCCAGGAACGCGCTGCTCAGGCTCTCACCGCGGGTGGCGTCGACTTCGAAGAAGAGGGAGTCCTCCCACTTGGCGGCCAGCTCCGCCCCCTCCTCCGGCTTCACCATGCGCGCCGCCGCCGCCTGGTCGATCTTGTTCGCCAACTGCGCGCGCGCCAGAGACATGACGTGAATGATGTCGGTCGGTCAGGCCATATATGGTAAGGTGCGACGAGGGAGGGAGAAGAGGGGTAGGGCAGGGTGGACTCGAACCAACATGATGGGGACCCCGGCCTTGGTCTGAAGAATGCGCTTCCGCCAGTCCTCCATGGCCTCGAAAGAGGCTCGGTCGGTCACACTGTACACCAGCACCACCGCATCGACCAGCAGCACCCACCTCACTGCATCTTCCACCACACGCACCCAACAAAAAAAGAGAGAGAATAGAGTGAGTACGTCGAAAGAACCAGGGCAAGGCGCAAAACGCACTTTGCGTGTTCTCTTCGGAGCCCGCATCACAGAGTTCCAGGTTGACCGGTGCGCCATCCACCTGAATTTGCCTTCTGTGCTCACAGAGAGAGGGGGGGAGGCGTCAGCTGCTCTAACCAAAAACAAAAGAGAGTTTTTTAAAAAAAAGGGCCACCGTACCGCTACATTGCGGCAACCAAGCGTGGCACGTGGTGAGCAACAGGGACATGCAGAAAGCGACATGTAAGCGGAAGAGAAGAGAGAAGAGAGGGGAGGGGAGGGAGGAGGGAGGGAAAATGGCGCCACTACTCGCCCACATACGTAGGTGTTCTCGTAGTCCCCCAGGTAATCCGGGAAGTAGTTTTGTTTGGGGAGCACGGTGAGTTCAGGAATTGGAGGGATATCATCATCAGCCTCATCAGCATCACCAGTAGTACGGTACCTGGGTGAATTGTACGATGAGGGACGATTTTCCGACCTGGCGGGGTCCTAATACCGCCACGCGGTACTCGTTCGTTCCAAACAGCGGCCGCAGGTTCTTGGCCGCTGCTGCGCTCACAACTCACAAGTCAGCCCACACCGATAGACGCGACGCACAACGCACAACGCAACGCACAACGCAACGCAAGAACGGGGGAGGGACGTACGGGTGACGGGCGGGATGGGGGCGCGCCAGGAGGCGAGCTCGTCCTTGGTGGGGAGCAGGGCGGCGACGTCGGCGTTGTCGAAGGCGAAGCGCAGGACCTGGTCGTCCATCTGGAGATGGAGCGAGGCCACGCCGCGCAGCGAGGCCACGGCGTTGAAGTAGGTGTCCTTGATCGGCGCCGGTATCGAGTTGTCGTTGTAGAGCGACACGACGGCGGGCAGCAGGAGCTGCTTGAGCGAGCTCAGCCCGCGCACGTCGCGGAAGTACCGGATGTCCTTGGCGAAGCGGCGGTAGGCCTCGTCCATGCTGTCCACCTTGAGCTTGAGGTCCAGGTCGCGGAAGGCCGCCAGCATGTTGACCCTGGCGCGGTACAAGTCGGTCTTGTAGCGGTTGAGCAGCTCGTTCAGGAACGCCACCACGTTCACGCTCACCGCCAGCTTGCCTCGCACTCGGCCCTTCACGAAGTCGTCGGTCTGGTCGCCTGTGTCGGACACGGAGCTTGTCTGCAAAGCGCAACGCAACGCAGCAACACGACACGCGACACACGACACACACGACACGAGGCTTACCAGGCTTTTGGGAGAGCTCGATGGTGCCCTCGATTTCCTTGAGTTCGGCGCCGATGAGAGCCGACCGGATTTGCACGAGCTCGTCGATGTCGGTCCAAAAGAGCGACAGCACCATCAGCCGCTCGCCGTTCTGCTTGCCCATTTGCGCTGCATCATGACCGTTCCCACAATCACCCACCCACCCGCCCAGCCACCAAACGCGTCAACATCAGCCCGTCGCCAAGAAAAGAAAAGAAGAGAAGAGAAAAGTAAGTACTTTTGTGGGAATGGAACTTGAAGAGGGGCTTCGCCATGAGGAGCAAATTGGCGATTGACCCGGCCAGCTCGCCCAATTCGAACTCTGGATCGGACATTCACACCACATGGCATGGGCGTCAGTGCGAACAGAACTGTGACGGCGGAGGTGCGTGCGCGTGTGCGTGTACGTGCGTGCGTGCGGTACCGTCGATATCGCCGCGGATGGTGCATCCGATGGAGATGAGCCCCACGCAGTTGGGCGGGGCCTTGAGCTCCTGCCTTGCCGCGGCCGCTGTCTCCGGGTCCAGCGTGAAGCGCACGCTCCCCGAACTCCGCGCCTCTCCGAACTCGCCCACCTCCGCGTCGAGCTTGAGCCTATCCGCGTAGACCACCCACCCTCTTAACACTCAGTTCCTGATATATATATATAAATTATTATATTTATAAAGATGAATAATATACCGAAAGGTGTGATCGTCCACGACTCTGCGACGCTGCTCCTTCTGTGCCTGCGCCCACCTCCCCTTCCACCCCAACAACTACGTCGTTGCGCGAAGAGAGGAGACACGAACGATTGGCCGATTCTTAAGGGTCGGCACCACGCATGCACTGCCAGATCCGGGTGGTGGAGTGTGGCGCGGCGTGGCGTGGTGTGGTGCGGTGCGCGTACCATCTGCACGTAGGAGGTGGATCGAAGCCGCTGCAGCAGCACCGGAAGAACGCCCGAGTCGGCCGTAGCTCCCTCGCCGGCGTCGGCTGCTTTGTCGTGGGACGCCCACCTACGTCATGACGGATGGATGACCCACCATGCATCGATGAAGGTCAGACCACGGCACCAAGGCGGGCACCCAAGTCAAGTGGCTGGCGCCAGCGGGAGCGTACCAGGCGCGCAGTTCGGGGAGGGAGAGGCCGCCACTGCCGTCGAGATCGAGGCGGGCCACGCACGCCTGCGCCTCGCTCTCGTAAAGGTCCTCGCCCAGCACCCACGCCATCTGTCTGAATCCCACCGCATCGATCTCCCCTCTATGCACACCCACCAGGCACACCGAGAGAGAGAGACGTAAGACGGTCTACTCATGAAAAGAGAGGGGGAGGGGTGAAAGGCGAAGTGGCCGCACCGTGGGTTCTTGTCAAAGACTTGGTAGAGGCGCTGCACCGTGTCTGCAAGGACATACAGAAAACAGAGAAAAGGCCATGAGCGCGTACTGGTGGGCAGAGCACGCCACCCCCACGGTCAAAGGTGCGCACAGCAATATTTGTTTTGTGTTTTTAAAAATATATATGTATCAAAAAGCAAAAGAGGGGGTGGGGCCTGTGCCGTCCTGCCCAAGGGCTGCAGCCGCAGGGGGGCTTGCCGTGTAGAGCCCCAGCCGGTCCTGGAGCCGTTGCTTCTCTGCACGCAAACGAACGTTCTCCTCCTCCATCTATGACGTATCTTCTGTTCTGTCTCTTTTGGCCCTTCTCGTCACCTGGCTCGTATTCTCTTCTTTCGCCCACCCTTCGCTGCACGGGCAATTAAAGTCTTCATTTTCCTTTTCAATTTATTGTTTCGTTTACAATTTCGTTTTCGTTTCTTCAGCTGGTGAGTTGCTTCTGGGTGGGGAAGAGGCGATCGAGGTAGGCGTTGCTGAAGGTGGAGGTGGGGTCCATCTCGGCCCGCACGCGCTTGAAGTCGTCCCAGTGGGGCAGCGTCTGCCGGAACTCGACCTCGGACATCTTGAAGGCCTTGGCCCAGTGGGGTCGGCCGTCGAGCTCCTTCATCAGCTCCTCGAACGCGTCAAAGTAGACCTTCGTCCCTGGCATATCCCTGCTCACATTGTGTCAGAAACACACCACACACACACACACACACACACACACACACACACACACACACACACACACACACACACGCACACACACACACACACACACACACGCACACACACACGACACACACCACACTCACTCACGCACACACACAGTGCGCGTACCTTCCGTAGGGGCGATACATGATGATGCCGATCCAGGCGGAGTCACGTCCGTAGGAGGGACTGAGCCAGATGTCGTCGGCCTTGGTGAAGCGGACCTCCACGCTGAAGTGGACCTTGAGGTCGAGGTCCTTGATGAGGTCCCGCAGTCGCAGCATCGCCGTCGCCGTGTTGGCCACCGGAATCGACCACTCCGACACATGTTGCTGGAACAGGCAGTCGAACGTCAGCTGCCTGTGTGTGTGTGTGTGTGTGTGTGCGCGCGACGATTCCGCCAACAATACAACAAGCCAAGTCAGTAAACATCATCAATGTGCACACGAGGCGTGTCTCGCAAAGACGTACTTGTCGCTTCGATCGATCGTCTCGCGGCGCTTGCTGAACAGGATGCGGCTGTAGAGCTTGTTGATGTAGGGCACCAGCCGAGGGAAGAAGGTGCCCAGCCACAGCAAGAACTCGTACAGCTTTCGCTCCTGGAGCCCAAATCGAAAAAGCCCGATATCAGCCCCCGGGGGGAGCTGAGCTGATAGTGGGAGGTCGAGGCCGACGTACCACCAAGATGTGGAGCAAATTCTGCCACGCGGGGAAGCGAGGAGGGGCCGCCTTCTCCTTGGTCCGGTTGGCCTGCCACACCCAGCACTTGTTGGTGTGCGGCACCCACCAGAACCGAGCGTGCTCTACGCGATGATGGGCGCACACGTCAGCTCAAGGGCACACGACACACAAGAGAAATAGAGGTAGAGGTACCCGCCGAGTGGATGATGGTGTTGAGCGAGGAGAGCACGGCCTCGAGGGTCATGGGCACCTCCACGGCGTGGAGCTGGTAGGCAGGCTCCAGCTGAATGGTGACTGCCGTGCGTGGATCGCGTAAGTTGAGGTACAGCACGCAACCATCATCATCATCAAAACGGGAGCGGAGTAATAATGAGCTCACCTGTGGAGATGACCCCCAGAGCGCCGAGACCACAGCGAGCGGCGTTGAAGAGCTCGGGCCGCTCGGTCTGCGGGGGGGGGGCAAATAAACAGTGAGGCAGTGCTGACGGGGCGCAGGGGGAGCGTTGAGCAACAACGCACCGCAGAGCAGCGGAGGACTTGGCCCTGGGCGTTGATCAGCTCCAGCTCGCGCACGAAGGTGGCCAGAATTCCCAGCTTGATGCCGGTGCCGTGGGTACCGGTGGACAGCGCGCCCGCGATGGATTGCCACGTGATCGAGCCCAGGTTGGACATGGCGAGCCCGTGCCTGGCCGCGTCGTCGATCAGGTCCTGTAGCTTGATGCCTCCCTCCACCTGGTCGCACCACCTCTCCGAGTCAGACCGCGTCGCAACGAGAGAGCAGATGAAGGGCTGGGCGCAGGGTCACGCACCTTGACGAGACCAGTCTTTCGGTCGACGCTGAGCACCCGCCGGTAGTTCTCCAGCGAGATCATGTACCCGTCGGTCACTGCAATGTCTGGCGAGAGAGGAATTGTACGGCACTGTCAGTGCATCACTGCTGCGCTGTGCGCGGGTCCGTCGAGGCTCACTAGCAACGCGAGCAATCGGGTCAAAGTACCTCCGGGCGAGTTGCTGTATCCCACCACCTTGACGTGCTCTTTAGCGGCCCGCGCGCTGTGGTTCAGGCATAGAGGCAGGGTGGTGAGGAAACTGGCAGAACAGTAATCGTTCACGTAGGCTGGTGGAGTGGAGTGGTGACGCACGTGGCCAGCACTTCGACTATCTCCCTGGCGCTGGTGGGCTTGTACAGGTACTTCGGTGTGGCGGTGTGGATGCCGGCCCTGTGTGGAGGCCTCGCGTGAGCCACAGTCAAGCAAGGCCAGAGGCCGAACGGAAAGGAGAATTGGCCAGGCCAATACCAGTTGCGCCACTGGTAGTTGGCGATGCGGGTGATCGACGACGCTGCGGTTGGCACAGGCGCCAGCTCCGAAATGGTGCGCTCACCTACGACATGGCCACAATGCTGTCGTTACCCCCCCCAAAGTTATTTATTTTTCCGGTCCGGCAAGGGGCTGCGGGAAAGGCGTGCGATGTAGAGACGCTGCAGACTGCGGTGGGCATGCCCAGTGCGCGGTGCCGCCTGGTCCATCTCGTGCTGTTGCATCATCATGAAGGTGTTGGTACTCCGACACACCTTGAAGGAAATAAAAAGCGAAAAGAGGAAAGAACGATGACGCAGGCGTGACGATTTCTTTTCAGTTTCAATCCAAAAATTCAAGACATGAGCCGTGGGTCGCGTCGTGTCGTGTGTCGTGTGTCGTGTGTCGTGTGTCGTGTGTCGTGCGGAGGCCTCGTTGGGGAAAGAATGTTTACATTAGAGCGGCTTTAGCACAGGAGAGCGCGAGCCGCTTGGGAGGCCGAGGAGATGGCGGCGGGCGACAGGAGCCGGTGGTGTTCGTGGAGGGCCAGAAAGTGTCGGAGGGCAGAGGAGAGTTCGGCCAACGACCGCGCCGGCGTGAGGGAGGCGAGGTTGGTCCTGATCTTCTTCCGGTTGTCTTCACTGTCCTTGGCCAGGTAGCCCATGAGCAGGACCGCATACCTTGACATACAGAGTGCGTGAGCAACCAACCGCTGTGTGTGTCGTGTGTCGTGTGTGTCGTGCGTGTGATCGGAGGTGTGGTTACCCTGCAATGACGACCTGGTCGGCTTCTCGGTCGGTGCTCCACCAGTGGCTCGCCACCGAGGTCACGAACTCCACAAAGCCCCGCCGGTCTGTTCGCAGGGAGCCAAGAGTATCCCTTGATGTGGTGACACGAATGTGTGAGCAATACATGCGAGGCTGAGAGGGAAAAGGAAAGAGCAATGGGTTGTACCTGTTACCGGCGTTGTGTTCGATGAGGTTCACCAAAAGGCTCAAACCGAGGGTGAGCAGGTTCCACTTCTGTTGGCCAAAAGCGGTGGCCTCCGCACTCCACGCCTGTTCCACAAGGCAGGCCACACTGGCCATGCCTCCATTGCTTGCCATGTGACCGCATGCATCATCGTTCTCGTTGGTTCTGATGATGGTGCGGAAGGCTGTGTCAGCATCGCCAGGCAAGACACACACCACACATGATCCGGGAAGGCAGAAGGGAGTAAGAGGTACAAGTTGATGAGTACTCGGAGGATGGCGACCAGGCATTGGCCGGCCAGAGGTTCGTCCGTCATGCAGAGAGGAACCGCCAGGAGAAGGGACGGGATGATTGGCACGAGGGCGCGTTGGTAGGCCGGGTCATCGGTGGTGGCCTCCAAGAGCTTGAGGCACGTGTAGTAGGCGTCCGACGCGTCGGATGTGGAGACCCGCGCAATATGCTTCTCAGTGAGAGCGAGCAGCTTGGCCAGAATTAGGTCCGGCTCGTCGTCCTCTTCTAAAGCGCGCTTAAGGGCACCTCGGTCCACTTCGACAAGCCGTCGCAGCGTCTGGATCGCCACCCGGAAAGGGTGGACTTCGGCCTCCGGCCACTCGTTGATCGTGGCCTCAACCTCAATCAACTCTCGCGATCGCTTCATCTGCGCAAGGACACGCGAGGCTTTGGTCAGTGCAATGGTGTCAGGCAAGTGAAGGCATAGTCCAGTACCTCCACTTCGCTTGTGTTGCTCAAGCTGAGCCTCTTCACGGGCCGCTTGGTTGACTGCTTCTTGGGGGATGCGTGCTGTGGCTGAGCGACGGCAATGGAAAGGAGCGTCTTGAGATGGTCTCCTGAAGCACCAGGTGAGTACTAGCGCAGCACGCGAATCGTGTGAAAAGAAAATGGCGCACCTGTTATGAGCTCGGCGTTGCGAGCGTCCCGCAGCAGAAAGTAAGCCATCAAGCTCACGTTCATCGCTACCACCTCATCTTCAGGCTGGCTGTCGAGCAGTTGAAGAACTCGGTTGCACAGACCGCGAGACCGGAGCTGCTTGGCCTCGTCCGGATGGGCGCAAAGCTTGGCCAGGTTGTAGGTGCTCCCGCGACGAACCGATATCGAACTCGTTTCGCGGGCGCCCTCCAGCTCATACTCCAGCTCATCCTGTATGCAGGCAACGCGTAAGTGGCGACTCCAAGTGAGCCGGAGGCAAAGTCGATTGGGCAACGAACCATGATGGTGGCCTGCTCTCCCGAGTTTTCAAGATGAAAATGGTCCTCGGAGGCACGTTTCTGCAACTTGATGGCAGAAGAGGATTTTCGTTTCTTCGGGGCCAGCAGCCCGGCTCGCGACGGAGCACTCCGTCGCCTCTTCGCCGATGATGCTTCCGGCACTCCATTCTCCATGTTCTCTTTCCCCCGTAAATCACTCAGGCAGCTCTTTCGCCGCGACTTGCCGGCAATCGATTCCGGGATGTCGGAGAAGAAGAGTTCTTGTGAGGAGGTGCTGCTGAGGCTCATAGGCTCCTCCTCACAAGAAGATGGGACGCCGAGGAAGGAAGTGTTGCCCTCGCCATTATCGCAATCACTGAGTAGTGAAGTGGAGGAGAGGGAAATGCGTCCGCTAGATGTGCGTCGGCTTAGCCTGGAGTAGGTGCGCGTTGCCATGATGAAAAGGGTTCGACGTTGAACCTGCCAATCGATCTACAAGAGTGCATGATCCTTGCTCCGTTGGCGCTGTTCACAAAAAAGGCGGGAAAGGCAAGGAGAAGGCGGGAAACAAGAAAAACCACTGACGTCAGCAGCCTTGTTACGATGATGGCCATTTATTCGAAGAAAATAGGAAACAGCCAACACAACACACGGCGTTCATTCTTGAACAAGATGAAGAGATTTGTGAGGCACTCCACGGGCTGTGCGCCGGTCCGCTGGTGCTTGCGAGGTGATTCAATCCCTCCTCGCTCCCTAGCTAGCGCAAATCGCTTCACATCTCCACTGTATCCTGCATTCCCGATCACCAATTCCGCATCCACGCTGAGCATCTTCAAGCGAGGGTTCACGCAGACCACGGAAACAGTTCCGCCTCTAAAGGTGAGCGATTTGGCGCCCATTGTTTTTCAACAAGACATTGAACGTTTATTTGATTGCATGTTGCAGGCTGGCTGGCGTGCCAGGTGGTCTGGGATTGGCGGCAAGGGCGCATACGCCCTCGCCACGGGACTCACATGCGCTGCGCTGCTCACACGACGAGGTAAGCACTTCTTCCTATTCACTCACTTCATTCGGGCAATTGCGCTCACATGCGAGGTGCAGACGAAGAAGACGGCCCGAAGCTCTCCCGCAAGGAACTGGCGCCAGGCGATATACCAAGCCGGATCGAAGACGACGAAGGTCAGTTGCTGGTGTTGTTGTGTGATCCGTCTTTGTTGCGTTCATGCTCACTTTATTTTCCGGATGAAGTGTGGGGATTGGATCGGCTGAAGCGACATTGGGCCAACTTAAAGCTCTCCGACGCGCAGAAGACCCTGGTGCCCTTGATCGCGCTTAACACCATGGTGTTCCTTGCCTGGCGTATTCCCTCGCCAAGGTGCCCATACTTTCCCTGCCTTTATTGAGTTGACAGCCGCGGCCTTATAACACTTTGTGTTTAAATCTGGCAGAGTGCAACTCTTCATGATGAAACACTTCACATGTTCGCCCACCAACATGATGGCGCGACGCTATCACACGGTGCTCACTTCAGGTACGCTGATAGCAATCAATTACAATGCTCTCGGTGTCACATTCTCACTGAGCTCTTCTTTGCTCCTGTGCCCCGTGCAGCCTTTTCACACTCGGGTCTGATGCATTTCTTCTTTAACATGACCGCGCTTTGGACCATCGGTGAGCCTCTAATGATTCTTCGAGCGTTGATTGTCATCGAAGCTTACCCATTTATTCGCTGTATCACCTCCTCCAGCTCCCGATGTGGTCGAAATCCTGGGCAAGGAGAAGTTCGCCCTTGTCTATCTCAATGGCGCTGTCGTCGCGTCGTTGGCTAGTGCGGCCTGGCAACGCCGAAGAGGCACCTCCCTTCCTAGTCTGGTACGCGCCTCTTCCTCTTTTCTCAGAACTGATGACGTTGACGTTTGCATGCTCATATCGTTATGATAGGGTGCCAGTGGAGCGCTCATGGCAGTGCTGTGGGTGTTCGTGTCCGCATTCCCTGACAGCGAGCTAGCTCTCATCTTCCTGCCATTTGTGCCTTTCAAGGCAATCAACATGGCGTTCGCAATTGCGGTGCGAGGCCATTCATTCGCGTGCGCTATTTCCGATTCGCGCCTCTGCTGATCGCTAGATGCCTAGGCCTTTGACGTGATGGGCGCGTTGCGAGGGTGGAAAGCGCTGGATCACGCGGCACACCTTGGTGGAGCCGTAGTTGGCGCTGCTTATTTCTATGGCCTGCGCGCGGTACTTGCCCACCACGCCCTGGCTGATGACGGAGCCCACCTTTACCGATTGTGTGATGGTATAACTTTTCGGCTCCGTGACACCGCAGATGGATGCTCTTGAGAAGTGGGACAACTATGGCAGCACGATTCTCCCCGGCGGTCACATTTACGAGGGCCAGTTCAGGGTACGGCCGCGAACAGGGCTCCGCCTTCGCTTCATTCGGTTAACCAATCGCGTTTTGACAGGGAGGCAAGATGCATGGCAAAGGCAAGGTCACGTTTGCCAAACAGGGAAGTCGTTCGGTCGTTTACATGGGAGAATTTAGGAATGGACAATTCGATGGCTATGGTACCAAAGATTCACCGTTCGCTTTGATGTTGTGCATCCGGCAAGGGGGGGTCGCTAATCGTCAACTGCCTTAGGTGTCTTGGCGGACGAGCGTTCAGTGATCTACGATGGCCACTTCAAGCATGGTACGCAAAAACACTTGCTTCAGATCAAACGTGCGTGAATAGACTTTTAACTTTACGCGATCGCGTGATCAGGTAAATTCCACGGCAAGGGTCTGCTCCATGCCAACGATGGGTCGGTCTACCGAGGCGATTGGGTTGCGGGTAAGGCTGCCCTATTAGCTCTCCGGCGCCGTGAGCGCCAACTCACACTTCTCCGCCACCATTGGAATGATACACAAGGCAAGCGAGAAGGGCAGGGCGTGTGCTGGCTGGAGGGCAAAGAGGACGGGCTTATTTACAAGGGCCACTACAAGAACGGTAACGTCATCATCACCCTCTTCGTACCCTCGTAGTAAGGCTTACCCCCTCTCTCCTGAGCAGATCGCTACTTCGGTTCGGGCATCCTGCAGCGTGGACCCAACATCATATTCGTTGGCGAGTTTGAGGTACTGCGCTGGCGGCTACGTTTGGCTCTCTTCCTGTCGCTCTGTCTGACAATGGCGCATTGCCCGTGCTCCATTTGAATGCGATTCCCGCTCTGCAGGACAATGGAGACGGACGCTGGCGAGCTACCGGGACGCTGTACCCGCCAGGTGGACAGAGGCCGACCAAAGTGGTGTGGCTCGAGAACGAGAGTCCTGTTGAAGCCGCGTGAGCTGGCCTTCGCCTCTTCAGCAGCCCGTGTTGTTTTTTAACTCCGTGTTATAATTTGCTTGACGCGACTTCGGAATTTCATGAATAATTGCGGAGTGTGAGAATGGCTCGCGGGGGGGCGGAACGTTCATCTCCTGCCTGCTCTCGATCCGACCCAGATCCTCAACACAGCACAAACAACCTTAGAAAGAGGAAGAGATGTCGGAACAGGAGCAAGCCCAGCAGCCCATGGAGACGGAGCCGGCCACTGCCGCACCTGATTCTCCGATGGTGGCGGAGCCCACGCCCTCGCCGAGTGGGGAGGGCGAGGTGGCAAAGGAGGGAGAGCAGGCGCCGGCGCAGGAGGAGCCCAAGCAGGAGGTGCTCGTGCTGGGTCTGGACTACGGCACCCAGAAGTGCGTGTTGGCCGTGACGAGGAGCGCTGAGATGTTCCCTGCCATCGTCCAGAACAACCTTGCCAACCAAGTCACTCCGTACGAAGTCTCTCCTTGCCATCTTACATCCATGCCGGATTAAATCTTTAATCTCTCTCTCTTTTTTTGTGCAGGAATGTGGTTTCGTTCCGTGAGCGTAGAAGGCTCATTGGTGAGGAGGCTGCGGGTGCGGTACGTTGCCTGTTCGTTGCAGCTTTGGCCGAGTGGAGCTCTGGACGTGTCGTCGCCATTACGCTTTCCTTTCCTCACGGGCTTCATGTGGCACAGATGGCACGCGCACCCAACGCCGCTCTGCACTCGGTGAAGCGGTTTCTGGGGCAGTCGCTGGAGGAGGCCCAGAAGGAGCTGAACATGCTGCCCTTCGAAGTTGAAGAGAAGGACGGCAAAGTGTTCTTCAAGGTGCGCTCTCTTCACGCACGCACGCAACTCTGCTTGTAGTGACTTACCTTCGGGGCTGTGCAGGTGCCCTTCCAAGACGAGGAGGCCACGTTCAGCCCCGAAGAGGTGGCGTCGATGATGATCAAGACCTTCCGCTCCTACATCGAGTCCAACTTTGCCGCCAACGCGACTGAGATCACCAAGGGCTGCGTCGTGGCGGTGCGTTCTTCTCTTCGCCAGGAACAACTCAACGCTCTCGCAGAGCTCGCTCTCAGCCACCACCGTGAACTTACGCTTTGGCCTGAATGATATTCTGCAGGTGCCATCGAGCTTCAACGCGCAGCAGAGGCGGGCCATCGCCGACGCTGCCACCATTGCTGGTCTTCCCGTCCTGCAGGTCATCGACGAGGCGACCGCAGGTATGCCAACCTGACGCCACGCTATTGTGTGTGTGTGGTGTGTGTGCGTGCGTGTGTGTGTGTGTGTGTGTCCCAGATTAAGGGCCTCATTGGCTTATTTCTCCTCTTCTCTCTGCTAGTCGCTCTGTGCTATGGCCTGAAGCGGCGCGATGCCCGCAGGGAGGCCATTTTGAAGGCGCGCAGGGCGACCGGTGCCAAGGACAACACTGCGGCCGCTGCCGCAGAGGAGGAGAAGACCCAGGAGGACGCCGGCGACACGGTGCTGTTCGTCGACATGGGCCACTCCTACCTCAACGTCCTCGTTGCCAGCTACGGCCGCAGCAAGCTCACCGTACGTTCTCCCTGTGGGTGTCGGAAGCCAACTTTTCGACGTTGTTGGAGTTCCTCAGTCTCTAATTGTTATAATAATTAAGGTGTTGGCTTCGCTCTGCGACGCGTCGGCCGGTGCGCGCGAGTTCGACTACAGCCTGGCTCGCCACTTTGCCGAGGAGATCCAGGTACCTCTCGGTCACTTGGCAATCATTACCACCACCCACCACCACCACCACCACCACCACCACCACCACCACCACCACCACCACCACCACCACCACCACCCTATTGCAGTTGGTGGACACCGGCTGACCTTCTTCGGGCCTCACCAACACCAATGCCGACAACAAACGACAGAAAAAGCTGGACGTGGATGTCCTCAAGAACAAGAGGCTCGTCACCCGCCTCGTCCGCTCGTGCGAGAAGACGAAGCAGGTCCTCAGCACCATCGACGAGACCTTCTGCGAGGTCGAGAACCTGGCCGATGTCGATTTCCGCAGCAAGATCTCCCGGGCCAAGTTCGAGGAGATCTCCAAGGAGGTGACGGACAAGATCGGCCGGGCCATCGGCGCCGTGCTCGAGAAGGCCGGCAAGAAGGCGACCGACCTGAGCGCCGTCGAGATCGTCGGCGGCGGCTCCCGCATTCCGCTGGTCCAGACCGTGATCTCCAACGCCCTCGAAGGCCGACAGCTCAACCGAACGCTCGACAGCGCCGGCTCCGTTGCCATCGGCTCCACCCTCATGGTGAGAACACACACACACACACACACACACGACACACAACACGTCATATTAATGATGTGATGTATGTTGGGAACAGGCTGCGATTTTGAGCCCCGAGATCGAGCTCGAGTACACGGTGGAGAACGCGTCGTCGGCGCCCACGGCGGAGGAGGGCGGGCTGGCGGCGGAGGAGGTGGCGAAGGCGCAGGAGCGACAGAGGCAGATGGAGGAGACCGAGCAGCGAATCGTCGCCACCGAGAACAAGCGCAACGAGATCGAGCAGTTCATCTACCACATGCGCGACAAGACCGACGACAATAGCCTCGCCAGCTGCTTCAACGGCAACGAGAAGCAGGCCCTGGTACGCCATCATCAGAGTGGTGTGTGTGTGTGTGTGTGTGTGTGTGGCTTGGCTTGGCTTGGCTTGGCTGACCCGAGGCAACAGTTGGACCACTTTGCCAGCACGCACAGCTGGGTGGATGACAACAGCGGCGAGGTGACCAACGGCAACCTGGAGCTGTTTGAAAAGAAGTTCGAGGAGCTCAAGGAATCGGTCAAGACCCTCGCCCCCGGCCTGCACGCGCGCCTCGAGCAGCTCAGGGAGGAGCAGGAGCAGGCCAACAAGAAGGCCGCCGAGGAGGCCGCCAACTACGTGCCCGAGAAGAGGGTACCTTAATTCGCTCTTGACCACCTCGCCACTGCCACTTCCACACACGTGACGGCACTCCGCCTCACACTATTTTTACCCGGTACCTCCAAGGAAAAGGTGCCGCGCACGAAGAAGCAGAAGATCCAGGAGGCGGGCAAGAAGAGGAACCAGGGCAACATCGTCTTCAAGGAGTTCGACTACGAAAACGCCGCCAAGCTCTACGTTGAGGTACTGTGTGCCACCACCACCTATTAGTAGTAATGCGAGATGCTCGTTCTTACACACCTGTGCGTGATGGAAAATAGGCGCTGGGCTATCTGGCTGACCTGTACGATTTGAGCCCGGAGGAGCAGGAGGAGGTGAATGCCCTCAAGGTGCCGTGCCTCCTCAACACCGCTCTGTGCTACACCAAGATCAACAGATACCCCCAGGCCGTCGAAAACTGCAACAAGGTCGGTCCCTCCTCTCTCTTTCTCGTTTTCGTTCTTCAATGATCTGCCATCGGAGTCGATGGTGCTCACTAAGTCTACGTGTGCGGCGTGTACCTCCAGGCTCTGGAGATCGAGAAGAGCAACGTGAAGGCGCTCTTCCGGCGCGCGCAGTGTCATGTGCAGCTGTCAAAGCTGGAGGACGCCAAGAAGGACCTCGACGCGGCGCTGCAGATCGAACCCAACAACGCCGCTGTCAAGAAGGAGCTCGCCCTCGTCGAAAAGAAGATCGCCGCCCAGAAGGAGAAGGAGAAGAAGATGTACTCCAAGATGTTCTCCTGAACCACTTCTGACCCAGAATATACTGGACAGCTTGTGGTGCTTGTCTCGTTCATCAGTGTGCACCACCTCTTTACATGTCACGATGCCCCTTTGTCACCCACCACTTGTTTGCCGGCGAGAAGAGGAAAGGGCAGGGCAAGTCGCAGAGGAGCACCGTACTCGGCGTCCATCTTCTCCTGCACGGCGCAGTGCACGTCGTTGAAGGCCCTCTTCAACTCCTCGCTGCCCGCCCTCCTTTTTCAAGGAATGTCACACGATCACGAGACCATTGGTGAGCCAAGAGCAGTGCAGAATCGCGCAAGTGGTCCCCACAGGCCCACGCGCCCACCAGCTCTGGGAGACCGTACCGTCGGAAAGCGGTGAGAATGTTGAACACGTCTTCCAGGTCCTTCTCGTCGATGAGCTGGGCCAAGTAGGCCTTCAACATCTGCACCTGTTGTAGTCGGAGAAGGCGTGAGCGTAAAGGCGAGGCACGGGTGCGAGGCGAGGTGCCCGTACCTGTAGTGGCTGCATCACATCACCCACTGACGAGGCCATCCACTCACGGAACACGTCGGCCGCTCTGCCTCTGTGCGCCGCTGTATCGAATCGCCCCGGCGAGTCTGACGTACCCTGAACCCCAGCCGCTGGCGGGGCCTGTCGCTTTCGCTTTCGCTTTCGCTCTTCCTTGGCCTCCCTCCGTTCGAGCTCCTGTTGTTTGGCCTTTTCGCTGTTCCGCCGCAGGGTCTGGGTGAGCGTGATGAAGCTCTCGTCCTCCTCGCCTCCGCCTCCCGCCTTGCTCTTCCGCTGCTTCCGAGGAGCCTTGACCGTCGTCGTCGATGTCGATGTCGAGGTCTTGTTCTTGCTCCCGGGCGGTCTGCCCCTCTTCTTCTTCTGCATGCTGCCTTCGATCGGTGTCTTTTCTTCATCACACCCGCCTGACGCCACAGCCGCTCCTCGCTTGGCGTTCGCTGTCTGCAGCCCTCCAGTAGTAGAAGTAGTAGTAGTGCTGCTGCCGCTCTTGCCGTTGTTGTTGTTGTCCTCATCGTCCCCTTCCACTATTATTACTCTACATTCTTTCTCTTTGCCCTTCTCCTTCCTCTTCTCTTCCGCTCGCCGCTCGCTGGTGGTCGTGTCGTCCGTGCCGGGTCCGCCTTCGCGATTCTTCACCGCAGCGCCCGGCTGCAGCTCCGCGCTCTTAGGCTGTGGTGGCGGCTCCGCATATCCAGGTATCCGGCTAGTGGCCGGCTGCTGCTCGGTCGGCTTCTGTTTGAGCGCCCTCCACTGCTGCGACAGCGTCGTCTCCCTGTACCGGCCGCCAGCACCCGACAATGACTGAGCCAGTGTGGATCTGCTCGCGCCCCTTCTGGCGGGTGACTTGCCAGCAGTGGAGGTGGTGGAGGAGGTGGCGGCGGCGGCGGCGGCGCCCTCGGTTTCAAGCTTCTGAATCTGGATGCCGATGCCCCGCACGTCCTCCACGGGCACGCCCAGTTCGTTGTAGAACTTGAGGCACTCGCGGTAGATGAGCGCCGCGTCGTCGGTGGGGTGGGCGAGCGTGAGCGATCGACTCAAATTGTCGACGATGCCGTGGCCAAGCAGCTTTCTCGGCTCTGGCGCGTTGTCTCTCCTCTTCTTCAACTGTGTCGGCCGTGTGTGCCGTGCGTGTCGTGCGTGTGTCAGTTGAAACTCAAGCACAGCGATGAAGAGTGTGAATACGGCGCATGAGAACCTTGAACACAATGGTCCTGCCCTTGACTCCGGCCTTGTTGAGCCTGCCGGCGAGCTCCACGGTGAGCTGCTGTAGGAACTTGTGCAGCTGACCCAGCTCGGTGAACCGTATGCCCCAGTTCACATCGACGCCCACCGATTTGCGTTGCTGCAAGGGGTGCACCGGCACGAAGACATGAACACCGTCTGAGGTGTCGGCGGTCGCAAGCGGGAGAGGGAGACACCGCGGTGTAGGATGCACGTACCTTGAAGGTGGTCAGGGGTCGTGCATCCGTCCCGCGGGCATAATGCCACATGGTCTCCCCCACCTTCTTGCCAAAGTGTTGGCCCAGCTGCTCCTTGGAGAGGGGCAGCAGGTCTCCGCACGTCTCGATTCCCATTTCCTGCACCGATGGTGATTCACGTTCAATTCAACCGGTCGGCGTCGAGTGGTCGTGAGCGACATGATGACGGCATACAAGTGCGAACCTTGAGTCTGCGGCCCAGCTTCCAACCTACACCGGGCAGACGGTCGACGGTCATGGTGGCGAGGTAGGCGGGTGCCGCTGCGGCGGTCAGGTGGTACTGGCCGTTGGGCTTGGCCTGCCGGGTGGCCAGCTTGGCCAGCAGGATGTTGTGCCCTATGCCGACCGACGCTGTGCAGCCCGTGGCCTGGTAGATGTCGATGCGGATGGCCTGTGGCGAGCTGACGCGTCAGCATCGGCGCGCTGGTGTGAGCCACCCAAGTGCTATTCAGTGCGCAAAGAGCGAACGAGACGTGCCTTGGCAAGGTTGGCCGGCTCCATGGCACTGGTGGTGACTTCCAGCAGTGCTTCGTCGCAACTGACCACCTGGATCTTGGTCGTGTACTTCATGAAGACCCGGTACATCTCCTTGGACACCTGCGCACGGGCACGCACATGAGCCCACCACATGTTGTGGCCTCCCCTCCGGAGTCCGATCTGTACGTAACGAAACAGGCCTCAGCTCAGCTGGGTCCGTACCTTTTCGATTTTGTCAAAATCGTAGGGCACGGCCACCAGATCGGGGCAGAGCTCGCGAGCCTGGCCCACCATCATGCCGTTCGACACCCCTTGGCGACAAGAAGGTGGGCAAGGACCACAGTAGAGTGAGCTCACGACCTCGAAGGACTTGAAGTGGTGTTAGGTACGTGCGTACCGTATTTCCTCGCCTCGTAGGAAGCCGAGGCCACGGACGAGGTGCCGTGGGCCGAGTTGGAGTGTGCGACCACCACGGGCTTGCCGGCGAGCATCGGGTTCGATCGTATCGCCACCGAAGCGAAGAAACAATCCTGCAGTGGGGGGAGCCCACGTGGTTGATTTCAGCTGCATGTAGCCCAATCAGTGAGCGAGAGAGAGAGGTGTCCTGTGTTGCAGTCGTACCATGTCGACGTGCATGATGACCCTGGCCTCGGGAGAAGCTCCCTGACGTTGTTGCTGTGCCTTCCGCATCGGGCGTGGACGATGATGATCTTCACCAGAGTGCATTTCTTCGTCCTCGTCCTCTTCGTCGTAGTCGAGGTTGTCGTCATCTATCAGCTCGTCGTCATCTCCTCCTACTGGTGGCCGGCTCCTCTTGGTTGTAGTCTTTGCTCGGGCCTTGTCCTCGCTCTCTTGCCGGGCGTTAGGGTTGAGCGCCAGAAGGAAGGAGTTGAGCTCGTCTTCGAACTGCGCACGCCACAGCGATAGGTGATGGAGCCGGGAAGCCTTGTAGTAGCCGTTGATGAAGTCGTGGTCCGTTGCATCCCTCATCCTGCCCTTTTCCTTCTCCTTCTCCTTCTCCTCTTTCTCCCTTACCTTATCTGCCACTTCTTGCCCAGCCTCCGGCCCACCACTTTCTTCTGCGGGAATGGCGGCGAGCGCTGGCGGCGGTGGTATAGCTGCAGTACTCCCAAGTAGCTCCTTGGGAGGCATTGGGTCCGCTCACTCTTACTTCCACCCGCTGCCGCTGATAGTAATTCGGGCTGCGTTCTATCCCAGGAGAGGAGTGGGTCGTTCAGATAGTTGTCATCGCCGTTTTCGTCCGATGGTCCGTGTAGGTCAGGAAGTTCAGTCTCTTCGTTGTCTTCTTGGTCTGGAGCGTCGCGCGCGCCGGTCACTGGGGCTGGTGGCGGTGGCGTCGATTGGTCTCCACCGTCGTGACGAGGAAGCTGCGTGCATTCTTGGGTACTCATCACGGCTGCCGTGGGCACCACCGACTTGGTTCCGGAAGTGGATGAGGGGAGGCGTGATGTGTTCGAAGACGAAGACGACGAGGCGGAGGCGATGAAAGACGAGAGAATCGACGCCGACTTGCTGCAAGGTTTGTGCGGGGGTCAGCCAGAGATCTCGATGTGACCAGAACGTAGGGCAGCGTACGTGGTTTGGTTTTCTGGTTCGAACAGGGGAGAGTAGCCATGGCAATCAACCTGCTTGCCTGCCTTCACGCTGTCCAGAACCCACTCAGGCCGCACCACATTGACATCGCTATGACAAAAAAACGAAGTTGAAGTTGAGCTGCGAGGGAGAGCAATGAACTGGAGGGGGTTAGAACGTACGCCCTATAGCGCTTGCACTCGTGCTGGTGAGTGGTGAAGGTACTGGTGATGATGTGCGTCACCGATCTCGAGCTGTAGTGTTGGAGGAACAGGCCGCCATGCGAGACCACCAGCTTGCGCAGCACCGTCTCTGATGGCTGTGTTCGCATCGGTGAGAAGAGAAGTAGCTGACAAGAGGGGGCAACACCAGCAGCGTTGCGGGAAGAGGTGCACTCATACCTCTGTGTAGCCGTTCACCCACACCACAACATTCTCGAAAATAGCGGGTTTGGCTTCTTCCCCTTCTGCACCCCGACGCCTGCGTCACTCACGGGTTAGGTTGCCCCGCTGCCGGGAGGCCCACGCAAGGGGATGGGAGCTGTGGTGTACTCGAGGTGGAACTGGGAGAAGAGCTTCTTTTGCTTCTCGGCGAAGTAGTCCTTCCTCGCCGACTTACGGGGCTCGGCGGGTCCTTCCGGGATCTGGCGTGGGGCAGGGGGCCGGCCAGGTACGCGCGCGTGCGCCGAGGAAGGGGTGCTTTGGGGCGATTGGCCTAATCCAAGGAGCAGGATTTCTGCCCGCCCAGATGAAGATGACGAGGCCGAATAAGACGAAGATGAAGAGGCCAGCGACAGAGAACGAGGTCCCGGAGAAACCGACGCACTGCCGGGGGCAAAGGGCGGATGGGTCGTGGCCTGTGGGGTACCCGCCCCCTCCATCAACGTTCTCCTCCGCACATCAAATAAAAATCAAGAATTCCTCTAAATATTTCTTACTTTTTAGTCGACACAAAGAAGGCAATTTTGGTGCCCTGACCTCAGTCGAAGCGGGGCTTGGGCTTGAAACGATCGAGGGCGGACGCGGGCGCACCACCCCGAGCCTTCTCGGCTTCGCGTTCCTTCTCCTGCTGCTCCTTCTTCTGCTTGGCGTACATCTCCTTGCGCTCGACATGCTCGTTGGCACGCTCCATCTGGAGGGAGGGGTGCGAAAAATGGATGAGTAAGAGAGTGAACCAAAGGGAGGGGACACGGTTGAAGCTTCAGCGCTCACCTTCTGCGAGTCGACGATGTTCAGCTGCTTCTTTCGGTACTTTCTCGTGGCCTGGTTCTTGACTCGGTTGTTTCGCTCCTTGACCGGCTTGGCGTTCTTGGCGTCTTCCTCTCGCCTCTCCTTCTCGATGACCGAGCGCGGGGCGTCGTCCACTCTGCCCACCACTGACGGGTTCAAGCTAATCATCTCCGGTTGAAGCTGGAGGAGAAAGCAAAAGAGAGTAAGTTCCGAGACACAATCAATGCAATGCTCGTAGGCACGGTCACATACCTTCTCAAGCAGCGAGTGCACAGTGGCCTCCCGGAGCTGCTTGTTGGTCTGGTAGGGGTTGGCCTCGAAAGAGTCGAAGTTGGGCTCTCCCGAACCGGGCACAATGATGGACGACACGCCCTTAGAGTGGCCGATGCCCATGACGTCCTCAAATGGAGTGAAGTGGAGATCGACGATATCAGCACCTGAACGCACAAAGAATGGCCCAGTGAGTAAGACGCGCTTGACTTGCGCGTGCCGCTTCGTTCATAAGTTGGTCATGTGGGGAGACAAGGGTACCAGGCACAAGATGCTTCATGTAGGGTTCAGTCTGTTTCGTCCGCAGAGCGTCCTTCCAGATGGTCACGTGGGGACCCGTCGCCACGCCGAGCAGTCCCCGCTGACTGATGGAGAGACTGGTAGCCGGAGCAAAGCTGTAGTAGTCACTGAGAAGCTTGTAGGTCCTGTGCTCAGGAGAAGGCTCGGGTGAGTTCCCACTTATCATTGAACGAGCGGTGCAGGCCCAGGCGCCATGTACCTCAAGTCCCAAATCTTAACATGTCCGTCGTTGCCCGAAGTAGCCATGTACTGGCCCACCTTGTCGCACGCAATCGAGCGCACCGGCCCTTCGTGGCACAGCATCTTCACGAGCGGCGTGGTCAAGTTTGGACTCCACATGGTGACCGTGCCTGGCCGATGGAAATGCCCCTTGCGTTAGCGATAAATGAAGCCACCCGCGCCAGGCACGGAATCTTACCGTTGTAGTGTCCCAGGTTGATGACAGCGTTCCAAGGGTTCTGCACCATGCAATCGCAGTTTCCCAACTTCGTGGAGTGTTCGTAGACCAGTTCACCGGTCGACGTGTCTTGGTACTTGAGCCACCCGGCTTGGCTCTGTGTGATTGAGCAACAACATACAGACAACGTGCATATATCAGCGCTGGCAACAATGCCTCTGGTGGGGAAGCGCAAACGTACGATAGAGACGAGCAGCCAGTGGTAAGGAAGGAACTCCAATCGGTTCACGTCCGTATGACTCTTCAAGCGATGTGTTTCCGTTCCCTTGTGGTCGTAGAAGTAGACGTGCTTCTTCTGTGCTGCAGCAAAGATCTGATAGTTGTTCAAAATCCTATCGGCAGTGGTGGCGTAGATAGGCACTGTGAGAGCGGAGCAAACGGAGGACGAGTCCACAAGAGCACAAGGTGGGAGCGTGAGTGTACTTGACATCACGGACGGTTTCCTTGACGTGCACTTCCGTGAGGAGCTTGTTCTTCCTCCAGTCGAGCAACGCGAGGTGGCCCTTCTTGCCTCCCATCAGAAGGTATGTGCCTTCTCGCGAATAATCGATTTTGTACGGAGCGAACGGCTCCAAGTTCAGATCGAATCTCTGTGTGCAGTCCAGGTGTGTTAGCACCTCCCATTTTGCCCATCCGATGTTGGTAGAAGACATACGTTGGCAGCAGTTTGAACATCGACAGCCTCCACGATCTCGGTCTGCTTGAAATACTTCGTCTTGAGGAGGGGATCCTCGGACTCGAGATGACCGGGTTCGCTCGGAAGCAGAAGCTCGGACCTCGCAGCCGCCACAGCCGCCGTACGTTGGAGCGCTCGGGCTTTGTTGTACTTGCCCACCACCTTCTTATCCACGATTTTCTAAAAAGATGAAAATATTGAGAGATTAATCTCGCAATTTGGCAAATTAACGGATCGTATTGCAATCTTGCCGAGGGCATGAATTGTACCCTCACGTTTGTGTCCTGCTTGCCCATTCTGTCGTACTTACGGGCCTTGCGCATAATTTCGGCATCTTCTTGGTTGTCGTCCTTCCTCGGGCGCTTCCGTTTCTGGCCCTTCCTCCTCGGTTGCTTGCCCGCGTCATTCACCTTTGTATCCTTCGGCTGGGTCTCGCTCGGTGCTTCCATCTTCAGCGCCGTTTGTATCTATCTGTCTCTTGCTCCGCCGAAGAAACGAAGAAGAAAGCGCCGCATCGAGAAAATGGCAGGAAACCCATTTCTTCTACAAAGATCGATCTTTGCCCTACGAAGTCAAATGCAACACATCCTCCGCAACCTGCAGCGGGCATCCGCCACGACCGTGGTGACAAGGCAACACATATGCCGCTCGCTTGGCAATCCCTCAGTGCCACTTCATGAGCGAGCGATTATTACGAGTGCCCACCTCCGCGGGTTCAGCAGCTCTGACGCCAACAAGAAGAGTAATCAGACGACGCCAGAAGAAGTGGAAAAGGCCAAAGCGAGGGAGAAGAAGGTAGAAGAGGAAAGGAAGCGACTGCGACAGAAAATTGAGGAGAGCAAGCGGAGTGGGGATGTGGTTGGCCTTGCGCGTGCCATGACCGCCTTGCGCAGTTTGGGCGCCGCGACGGCGATTGCACCTGCTGCATTCCTCCCTTTCGAGGCGAAGGAAGTGGCAACTGAGGACCATCCGGGCATGATCATGGGCGAAGATGCCGACGACGAGGATGATGACGAGGAGTTCTGGTCCGACGATGAGGACGACGACGAGGAGGAGTTCTGGTCCGATGGCGACGACGAGAGTGAGCCTGGCACCAGTGAGGTCCCTTGTGACTGAGAGTCGCTTCTGCAGCCGCCTGACCGTGATACCGGACCGGTGACGGCCCAAGACAAGAGCTCTTTGCCACTTCATCTCGTCTTGTTGTTCTGTCCCAATTCCGTGGAAGGGTGCACCACCAAGCAAATCAGGCAAGGAGCTGCGGTCGCCCAGTACTTTTCATGCGATAATCTGGGCAAAAACTGGGCGTTCGATACGGAACCGTCGAATAACCTGGGACAGAAGCCGTGTGCTTTCTGTTTTGTGCCTAAATTTCCCGGCCTCAGTTCGTCTCGCTCTCTGAAGGCGCCCTGCGCATCCCCAGCCGCTTCCTCCTCTCCTTCTTCCTCGTACTGCTTCCAGCTTTTCTGCCTCTTCGTTCGAACATCCTGCCGCGTAACAATTGAATCTCGATCAAGAGAAAACGACACAATCCAATTAATTCAAACATAACATCAAGAGGAGACGGCCCCACAGGCTGCAGATTTCATCACCATTCAGCGCCTCTCCAGAGCTGGCTTCGGTCGAACGGAAAGATTCAGCATCATCATCGAGCTTCAACAACTGTGGACCTTCCAGAGCTGAGTTGAATCGCACGACGGGGGCTCGCGGCGCTATGGATTTGGCAGAGTTTGGAATTGGGGGTGCGTCTCCCCTACCGCTTATTGAGTATATACACACATTGTTAGCATCATGCTCAACGTGGGGTGCGTGTTGTAATGTAGAGTGCACGGTGGAGAAGGGACCAGAGTTGGCCTTCTCCGAGGAATGGACTCTTGTGGAGCGGGTAAATGAACAGCACAATGAGGTAACAATTTGGCTTGGTCCACGACACGACGTGCTCTCCATCCTACTTCTCCTGCTGAGAATCATGCATTTTGTGTTCTTCCTCGCGTGCTTGCAGTTGCTCAATTCGATCTGCGTCGACAGAGTAAGTCACGAAACCAGCCTACGAACAGAGGACTGCATCGTGTTCCAAGATGTCTCCCTCTTGCCCTCTGACGATCTCGAGTCCCTGGAGAAGTTGCCCAAGCCCAGATGCGTGGGCACTCTCGTCATCACCAAACACGAGCTCATCTTCGCAGATGAAAAGGTTCCTTTCCTCACTTGCCGAGCATTCATTCGCCACTATCTTCATGCATCCAGATTAACATGGATCAAATTTCTGCAGGAAACTCAACTGAGCCAGAAAAAGCATCGGCTTCCTCACGAGACAGATTCCTCCAAGCTCCCCCTCCACATGATCGCAAGGCTCGACAGGAACAAGCAACTGCCCACCATCCTCGACATTCGTTGCAAGGATCTGCGCTTGATGCGAATTCGGTTCAAGGACGCCAACTCGAGCATCAGCGTGTGCAACCTCGTGCACACGCTGTGTGCGAACCGAACCGAGTTCTTCGCCTTCCACAACAAGGAGGAGTTCCGAGGCACCACCAACGGCTGGGACGTCTTCAACTGGTCGGAGGAGTTCTTCGTGAGGCAGGGTCTTGGACCCGAGTGGAAGCTGGTCGACGACGTGAACGAACACTGGCAGCTCTGTAGAACCTACCCGAGCCAGTTTGTCGTTCCCGCCTCTGTCAAGCCTTGCAGTATGCTTCCTCCTCTTTCCACCGTCCGCCCGCCTTCTGTGACCCTCACCAAATCTCTTCCTTCGCTTGACAGCGTTGCGCGCAGCGGCAAAGTTCAGAAGCCACAACCGTTTCCCTGCCCTGTGCTGGCACCACCCCCTCAACAAAGCCACTCTCTCCCGGTGTAGCCAGCCCATGGTAAGGCCACATGGCATCGCACTCGGTCTTACCCGAAATGCTGACGTTGCTTCGCTCGCGCCTGTTAGGTCGGTCTTATGCAACAGCGAAGCATCGCCGACGAGCAGATGGTCAAAGCGATCGCCGATCTCAACCCAAATGGCAAAGTGATGTACATAATCGACTGCAGGCCTTGGGTCAACGCTTATGCCAATGCTGCGAGAGGAGCGGGCACTGAAAAGTACGATCCCCACGAGTGAAGGAAGAAGAGGAGAGGAGGAATAGCGTGAATAGGAGAGGTGAAAGTTCTTGGCTCCTTAATTTTTCATGCATGGCCTCTGCTTAGTCTTGCTAATCGACATTGCTCTATCGGTTCAGGATGATCTACTACCCCAACTGTCAGCTGTCGTTCATGAACATCGACAACATTCACACCATGCGCGAGAGCTTCAGACAAATGGTGGAGCTGTGCCACCGCCAGAAGGATTATCGCTGGTTCTCTTCCTTGGAAGGGACTCGCTACCTTCTCGAGAACCAAAGTTGGCTTGCGCACACGAGGTACATACCCCTGAACCTACCCCACATGAATATCAGTTATTGATATGTCGCGTATCACCAGTCTGGTCCTCCAAGCTGCCGCGAAGATTGCTCGCCTCATCGACAAGAAGAAGTCGTCCGTGCTTGTCCACTGCTCCGATGGGTGGGATCGGACCACGCAACTCGTGGCTCTCGCTCAGGTCATCCTCGACCCGTACTATCGCACGATCGAGGGATTCGAAGTCCTCATCGAGAAGGAGTGGCTGGCCTTCGGTAAGAATCCCTTTCTTCCCTGCACCGCCGCGGCTGTCAGTTAACCTCTCTTTTTGCATTAGGCCACAAGTTCGACTGTCGGTCGGGCCACGTTCATCAGGCATTCTTCGAGACCAGCGAATGCTCGCCGATCTTCCTGCAGTTCATGGACTGCGTGTTCCAGCTCATGCACCAGTTCGACACCGAGTTCGAGTTCAACGAACAATTCCTGATCACCATCATGGACCACGTCTACTCATGCAAATACGGCACCTTCCTCTACAACAACGAAAGACAGCGAGTACACCGCGACTTGAGGAACAAAACGAAGTCACTCTGGTACGCCCACTCATCTGGGTCTCTCGCATGGTTGCCGCCAACGCTAACCCGTTCCCTCTTTTCTCTCAAAAAGGACATATCTCAACCACGACCAGAAGTACTTCCTCAATCGGTTCTACCAGCAGGGCGAGGGAGCTTTGGATGGCATCTGCACCAATCTCCGATTCTGGAAGGGCTACTACCTTCGCTACCACGAGCACAAGAGCGAAGAGGACAACGTCAAGTACGAGCACAACAGGCTTGGAATTGAGCTCGAGCAATTGAGGTAGGCTTTTCATGTCCCCTCCTGTGCCGTCACCGTGGTCGCAATGATTCAGTGGTCGACGAAAAAGCTCACGTTTCAACTTCATGTGCAGGTTGCGCCTGGAGCAAGAAGCAGAGGCCCGTTCCAGATTGGAAAGGGAGCTTGACCTCGTGAGCAGACAGAAAAAGGAGCTCGAGCATGTGATGCAAGGGGTGCAGTGCACCGTGTACAGATCAGAAGGAGGCGAAGCCCCCTACCTCGTCGCGAAAATAGGTATGCGCCTACGAAAGCCAGCTGACTTCAAAAAAGTTGGTCGCACAAGAACTCACGCGTTCACATTTGTTCAGCATCGCCGAACAGAGATCTCGTGACCAACTTTTGCGACGACCTGCGCAACCTACACATCATCGACGACTACAGCAACTCGCCCTCGACCCGCGCCCCGGCCGTGGCGAAGGCGGGGGACGGCCGGCCACGCATCAAGCGACGATCAGCCTCCCTCCTCCGAACCCTGCAGAAGCAGCAGCGAATGGCGCAGAATGGCGACCAAGACGACGAAGACCACTGTTATGGGAAAGAGGAAGAAGAGGTGGAGAACGAGTGGACCCTGTGCGACGTCGAAGAAGGCGCGCAGGAGAACAGCGTCACCAAGAAGAGCCCCCACAACAGCTATTCCGAGCACGGCAGACACTCCAACCCGACGCGAAGCCTCACCCACGACAACCAGTACAGAACGCCGGAGGAGGCAGCGTGGGAGCTGAGAAACGAAGTCGTCACCCTCGAGCTCAAGAACTCCACCGGTACGAGACCCTTCTCCGCTTTCGCCTTCCTCTTTGGTTGATGCTGATCGTCTCTTCTTCGTGTCCATCATCGTCATCGTGAGCAGGGTCGTGGATATTGCCGTCGATTCGGTTCTCGGACTACCTGGAAACGCTGCGGCACTACCTCAAGGACCACGGCTTCATTCCGTCCTTTCAGTGGCCCTACGCCAACAAGTCGACCAACGCGTGATGGCCCCGCGTGGCGTGTCATCGGGTCCCGTGCTCCTCCCTCATAGCCAGTGGCTGCTGTTGTACAATGCCTTTTTAATTTATTGGACTGACCGCAGTGTCAGTTCTCTTTTGTCTGTAAGTAAACTTCTTCTCCTCCTCCTCCTCCATGTTCTCTTCGCTGGGTGTGGCGGTCATCCGCCATTCGCGCATAGCCCCTCACGTGTTGCGCAGAGTGCTAGAGAACTCATCGAATTCTTAGGGAGAATTCAGTCAAATCTGCAACTAGCCGCTAGCATAAAAGGCCGATCCGGGGTGATCGACGAACTCAACCTCATCACCGCCACCACAAGCCGAACACAAGGGCGGCCCTACATCGAGCACCCCCTCTTCAACCTTCTCAACTACCCCACAAGCATGGGCGTGCCTTCTTTCTTTCGCTGGCTCATGAAGCGCTATCCCCACGTCGTTACCGACTGCGTGGAGGAGGAGCACAGCGGCGATGACGACATCAACAAGAAGCTGGGACCCAACCCCAACGGCATGGAGTTCGACTCTCTCTTCCTCGACATGAACGGCATCATCCACCGCGCCACCCACCCCGAGGACGGGGTACCTACCCCTTCGCTTCTCTTCCGCCACGTTGCTGAGCTGACCTCTTTCTTTTCGTCCTTACAGCCGGCGCCCGAGAGCGAGGAGGCCATGATGGAGGTCATGTTCGCCTTCATCGAGCGCCTCGTCAACATCGTGCGTCCGCGCAAGCTGCTCTACATCGGCATCGGTACGGCCTGCCTGCCTGCCATAGCCGCTCCGCTTGCCGCTTGCCTGACCGCTTCGTGGTGGGTGCGCCAACAGATGGCGTGGCTCCTCGGGCCAAGATGAACCAGCAGAGGTCGCGTCGGTTCCTGGCCGCCAAGCACAGGCTCGAGGAGGAGGCCAAGGCCAAGGCCGAGCCCGCCGACGGCGGCAAACAGCCCGCCAAGGTACACACCATGGGACCAAGGCCACGGTTAGGAATGGGGACTGACACTCGTGGCGGTGGCGGCGAGCAGCCCATCTTCGACCACAACGTGATCACGCCCGGCACAGAGTTCATGGCTCGCGCTGCCGAGGCCCTGCGCGCCCACTTTGCCAGGAAGATCAGCGCCGACCCCAACTGGAGCCCGTTGGCGGTGATCCTCTCCGACTCATGCGTGCCGGGCGAGGGCGAGCACAAGATCATGGAGTTCATTCGCCACCAGCGCATCCAGGAGGGATACAACCCCAACGCCCACATGGCCGTCTATGGCTTGGTACCTCACCACCCACCACCCACCACCACCATCATCATCGTCGTGCGCTGAACTAATCTTCATGGGGGTGACCATTGCGCGTGTGCAGGACGCGGACCTCATCTTTTTGACGCTCGCACAGCACGAGCCGCGGTTCTCGATCCTGCGGGAGGAGGTGTCGAGCGTGACGTGCTTCGTGTGCCACAAGGTGGGCCACATCTCCACGGACTGCCCGCAGCTGCACCCGGAGGAGCACAAACACGACGACGACGACGAGGAGAATGACGAGCAGCCGCCGGAGCTGCGATTCCAGTGGGTCCACACGCAGGTGCTGCGCGAGTACCTGGACCGCGAGTTCCGCCACCTGTCCCTCTCCTTCCCCTACTCGCTCGAGCGCGTGATCGACGACTTCATCGTCATCTGCTTCCTCGCCGGCAACGACTTCCTGCCCCGCCTCCCCAGCGGTACCCCCCGTTCCACCACCACCATCTCCTCCCCTTCATCGACTCCTCGACACCAACCACCGCCAGTGGCTTGACGCTCACGTTCGTGTTCACAGTTGCGATTCACGAGGGGGCCATCGACACGTTGATCGGGGCCTACAAGCACCACCTGCCCCAGCTCGACGGCTACATCTGCACCAACGGCAACGTATGCGCTCACCCGCCGCCGCCGCCTTCAACTACGACGCTCCGTGGTGTGTGGTAGTGAAACTCATGAGTGAGTGAACAGATCGACTTCAGGCGACTGGAGCACGTGGTGGCGATGGTGGCGGCGTCGGAGGAGGCGGTGCTGAAGGAGCGCAAGAAGAACTTCCGCCGCCGGCAGCTGCAGGAGAAGGCCCTCCTCAGGGAGCTGGCCCAACGCGATGACGACGATGGCGATGATGGTGACGATGATGATGACGGCGGTCACCGCCGGGGCAAGGGCAAGGAGGCCGGGCACAAGCTGGTGCGGTACAAGCGCAAGGAGGGCAAGCGGTCGCGGGAGGACGAGGCTGGCGAGATAGAGAAGGAGTGCCTAGACGAGGACGAAGAGGAGGAGGACCTCGTGCGCATCGGCGAGCGCGGGTGGAGGGACCGCTACGTCATGCAGAAGTTCGGCGTGCCCTCGGCCAACCGCGAGTTCTACCAAGGGTACGCGCGTGTCGTGTGCGTGTGCGTGTGCGTGTCGTGTCGTGTCGTGCGTCGCCAGAGTCTGACAGCGCGTGCGTGTTTGTGGGTTGCCAGGGTGGTGCGGGCCTACGTGGAGGGTCTGCAGTGGGTGGCGCGGTACTACTGGCAGGGGTGCGTGTCGTGGAAGTGGTTCTACCCGTACCACTACCCGCCCATGGCGACGATGCTGGAGGACATCGGCCGGTTCCGCAGCGCCGAGGTGGTGGCGTCGTTCCAGCTGGCCGAGCCCTTCCACCCGTTCGCCCAGCTCATGGCCGTGCTCCCCGCCGCCAGCGCGCACGCTCTGCCGCCTCCCTGCCAGGCCCTCATGACCTCGGCCCAGTCCCCCATCGCCGACTACTACCCGACCAAGATCGAAATCGACATGGACGGCGTGAGCCACAACCTGGAATGGGCCGGCGTCGTGAAGCTGCCCTTCGTCGACGAGAACCGCCTGCTCGCCGTACGCACCTCCACTGCCAGTTGTGATGGTCGTGTGTTGCACTGCAGGCAACACACACACACAGAACTGGTTGGCTCACCCGCGTGTTGGGCGGTGACAGGTCATCAAGCCGCTGGAGAGCCAGCTGACGGCCGAGGAGGTCCACCGTAACTCGTTCGGGCTGCCGCGCCTGCTGATCGGTCCCGCCAGCCCGCTGCACCACGCGCTCACCGAGAAGCGGCAGCCCACCGGCGGCGGCGCGATCGACGACACCCGGGTGACCATGACCATGGCCGACGGCGACGGCTTCCTGGCGGGCTCGCTCAGGGTAGTGGCGGGCGCGTACGGCAACGACGAGGTGCTGGCGTGCGACTACTCGCTCCCGCCCCACCAGGCCGGGCTCGAGTTCGCTTCGGGCCTGCTGCCCAACGTCACCCTGCCCGAGCCGTGCCTTCGCTCGCTCGAGGGACGCGAAGGCGATGATGACGACGATGACGAAGACGACGGCGACGAGAATGGTGGCGGTTACGATGGTGGCCGCCGCCGAGGGTATGGAGGGCGAGGAGGCAGGGGCGGTGGTGGCCGAGGGCGAGGCGGGAGGAGAGGCCGCGGCGGCCGGCGCGGCGGTGAGCATATACCAGGAGACGGCGGAGAGGAACGCCACCACCAGCCGCACCGAGGCCGAGGCCGAGGCCAAGCCCACAGCCACGGTCATGGCGGTGAGGGACACCAGCAGCAGCCCAGCCACCACCGCGCCCGTGGTGGGCACGAGGGTGGAGGCCACAAGCATGGCGACTGGTAAGTCTCAGACAGAGGCGACTCTCGTGAGGCGGCGATTGTAAATAAAAGGGTCAATTCTTAATCGAGATATGAAAACATGGGAGTGGAGCGGCGTGCGCGACTCAGAGCGGGAGCGAGCGGGGTCTACAGTACGATCTCGTGGGTGTAGCTGGAGGTGAGCGTCTTGTGGGGCATCACGATGCAGTTCAGAATGATCAACTCCGGTGCTATCACCGAGTCTCGCCCTATCGAGATAGAGGGAGAGATGCGCGGTGAGGGTGTTGGCTGGCGATTGAGGGGAGGGGGAGGGGGGGAGGTAGGTACCAACGATGCAGATGCCCTTCCGGATCTTGTTGACGTACATGTCGGGCGTTGGGTTGGTGATGCCCTCCACGCGGGACCACGGACCTACGATGCTGTTCCACCCGATGATGCTCCACGACACGCACGCGCGGTCCTACATTCAACACATGCGAAACCTGTCAGTTGGCCGCTCAACACACACACACACACACGACACACACACGACACACAACAAGGGAGGGAGGGGACCTTGATCTCGGCGTCATCGAGGATGATCGAGTGCGAGATGCGGACACCCGGGCCGATCTTCACGTTCTTGCCCACAGTCACGTTGGGTCCGAGCTGTTGCAGGCGGCCAGCGCAGGTGAGCTGTGAGCGGCCACCCACCCACAGCGCTTGCCTTCACCGGGGGAGGGGCGACGTACGAGGGCGGTGGGGTGGACTTGGGCGGTCTTGTGGATGATCACGTTACCGCGGATGTTGGGCGCCTTGGGCGCGAGCACCGAGGGGTTGGTCTTGGCGAACAGGTCCAGGTAGAGCTCGTTACAATAGACGGGCGCCCTGTGGTGACCGACCGATCGCACGGAGAGTTAGTGAGAACTCACCACCACTCCACACGCGCGCACACACACGACACACGACACACGACACACACGACACACGACACACGTACCCAGCGTTCTTGATCTGGCGCCAGAAGGAGTTGTTGGCAAAGACGCAGAACTGCGACTTGTCGGAGAGTGGGATGAGGATGTCCTGCTCGAGCCGCACCGACTCCTTGTTGACTCGCCACACGTTGCTCCTAAAAAGTTTGTTGGCCACGTTCGGGAGGTAAGCGCCCGATCGTATGCTCACCAAGGCCTCAGCACTCGAGGGCGGGCGGGCGGGTGGGGTACAGGTAGGCGGGGAGGTCGCTGTTCTCCGATTGAAGGCGGGCGGCGGTGTCCTTGATGGTGTCGAAGATCTTGGGCGAGAAGCAGTACACGCCGCTGTTGATGAGGTCGCTCACGTGCGTCGACGGCTTCTCTGTTACGACACAACACAGCAACGACGCGAACATGAGTGGCGCGGGTGCGATCAATCGAGTGTTTTTTCTTCGTACCGGCGTAGTGCTGCAGCCTGTGCTGGTCGTCCTCCACCAGACAGCCGTAGTGGTGGGAGTACTCGGGGTTGACCTGGACAAGACGCGAGTTGAGCAAGCTTTGACGCGTGTCGTGTGTCGTGTGTCGTGTCGTGTGTCGTGTGTCGCGTGTCGTGTGTCGCGTGTCGTGTGTCGCGTGTCGCGTGTCGCGTGTCGTGTGTCGTGTGTCGTGTGTCGTGTGTCGTGTCTGCGCTGTAGTGTACCTTGGAACCGAGGAGGGTGCCTACGATGCCCAGCTCGCGCACCTTCTCGCGGTGGAAGGCGAGCATCTCCTTGAGCGGGAAGGGGCACGCGATGTCGCAGTGGAGGACGAAGATGGACTCGGGTCCATCGGCGAGTATCTGCTCCCTGAACTTGTACAGGCCGCCCGCCGTGCCCAGCTCGGTCTCCTCGTGCAGGTAGCTGTTAGCCACACATCACCACACCGCGGGCGGTGGTGGTGAGAAGCTGAGGTGATGCGACAAGACCCTTGCTGCACGCTACAACAAGGGATCCCAGGGCAGGCGAGCACCTGATCTTGATGTTGAATTTCTTTTCCATTTGCTGCAGGAAATCCTGAAATTCCTTCTCTTCATTGTAGCCCAGCAGGAAGATCTCCTTCATGCCTTCGATTCTGTGGTTAATTGATTAGTGCTACTTCTTGCAAGAGAAGAAGATGGTTGCTGTGTGTGGGGAAGTACTCGCAGCAGGCCTTGATGTGGTGGTAGACCATGGGCTTGCCACCGACTGGGAAGAGAGGCTTGGGGAAGCCTTCCATCGAGAGGGGCCTGAAGCGCGTGCCCTTGCTGGGGCCGCCCACCATGATCACCGCCTTCAACACTGGTTTCCCTTCCATTCTTCTGCTTCTTCTGCTACAATTGCAAGGTCTATTGGCCTTGTGGCGTAATCTGTGGCTTTTACTTTTGGTTTTCCCGCCTCCTGTAATTTTTTCTTTATTCATTTCTTTCTTTTTTGCCGTGCAAACATGCGCGTGTTCGTCGAGCCGAGACAAGAACAAGAAGAACAGCTGTCGGGGGGTGAAAACGACAAGGAGCCTCAGTAAAATTGAAAATGGGATCCGTTCATTAACGGAGTTAGAATTGTGGCCAATAGCTGGTGCCGCGTGGTGTGCTTTCCCAACGGAACAGCCACACAGCCAAGACCACAACGATCCCACCACACATTCAGCTCGCGTCCAGCCCCACAGGTCCTTCCTTCAAAGTAAAACCACACTAATCACACCGTTCTCTGCGGACGCCCAACACACATCAATGAAGAACGACCGGGCGCCAGTCGCAAGCCAATCAATTGGTCGAGACCTGATCATTCTTCTCTTCTTGACGGCGTCCCTCCTGGCCTCACCCGTCTTTTCGGTGACCATTACCGGTACCTCTCCCGACCCCATCTCTTCATCTTCTTCTTCTTCTTCAAACCCTCCTGGACACGTCCCCAATCCACCCATCCCGCGGTTGAGGGGGTCGTGCTATCGTATCCACACCCCCGCGGCTGCCCGGGTGGGCCAATGTCCGCCGACGGCGTTTTTGTCGGAACTAAAAGAGTAATTAAGATGATATTCGTTTATTGTTTTCGTGTCGGCGGCTGATGCTGACATCTTTTTGTGTGCGCTGCAATCGCATCCATGGATTCTGCGCCGGCCAACAGTGTGCAGCAGCGGTTGCGGCTATCCAAGTATAGGCGAAGCAGTGAACGCGGCAGCTCCCGGCGACACAGTTGTTGTCGCTGCGGGCAACTACGAGGAGACATCACAGCTCAACTCAATCGTGTCTGGTATTACTCTACAGTACGAGCTCCTCTCTCTCTCTCTATTGCCCATGATTTTTGGACCAAGCCGCGCGTGCTTCTTCTTAATCACCTCCCCCCCCCAACAAATAGATTCGACGATGTCAGCGTCTCTTGTTCCCAGTGTAGCGCTGGGCCGTGGTTCTCCCTCCTGGCCGACGCAGTGATGGAGGGAACGCTCACCATCGTCGACTGTACGCCGGACCCACTCCACTGTGCACAGTGGCTTGCTGTAAGTCATTGTACGGTTAGACACTAGTAAGGCTTAACGCTCTCTTCCCCTAAAATGAGCAGCCTTCATGAGTGTCGATGACTCCACCTTCCAACAGAACGGCAACATCAGCATCAGCAGCAAAACGGCAACAGGTATGACCCCGTGTGTGTGTGTGTGTGTGCGTGCGCGCGCGCACCGTACAGCTCTTTAACCAACGATACCCACGCCAAAATGGATGATGTAACACGCACGCGCCAGGCGTCAGCATTTCTACTGGTGCGACCTGGGCTCAGAAGGGCACCCTCTCCGTCCAGCTGCAGGCCGGAGCCTCTGGGAGCGGTACCAACACTTACCACGCTTGATGGCCTTCATACCCTACCCTGCTGCGTTCTCTCCCCGCGCCGGGGTGAGCTGACACCTCCGCACACAGGGGTCCAGGTGGGAGGCAACAGCCACTGGATACAGGACGGAGCGGCCACGATCCACGTGACCAACTCCACCTCGGGCTATGGCGTATATCTGAACGGCGTCGGTGCCACGTGGCAGCAAAATGGCCTACTCACCATCGAGACCGAGTACTCGGGCGCCGGTGCGTGTCACAGCCCCCCCCCCACGCGGTCCGCCGTTCCTTTTTTCACTTCTGATGGCCGATGGGGGCTCTGCGAACAGGAGTACTGCTCACCAGCTCGACCACCTGGACACAAGTTGGAGACGTCAACATCACCGCTCTCGGGACCAAGGGCACGTTCTGCCTCTAAAACCCTCCCATCGGCTTTCGCGGGCTCTTACCCCGTCTCTCTCCCATTTCAGGAGTGGAGCTGCAAACGACTTCGCTCTGGGGCCAAGCGGGCAAGACCCTGATCACTGCCACCGGGGGCGTTGGTTCGCTCCTGCTTCCCTACTTTCTTTAGTCTCCTCGTTCGGGGAGGTTTGTCGCCACGTGTGCGTGCCTCACCCCTGCTTACCTGGCCAAAGCAGCCGTCACGCTGGGAGGCACCAGTTCGTGGCAGCAGAACAACACCGGCCAAATGCGCGTGTCTGATACCACCGGTACACACACGAGGACCTGACCCTTCTATCTCTCTCTCTCTCCCCCCCCCGCTCCGCCCAATGACTGATGCTCCGTTGACCCTCATCATCGCTTCCTTCTCTCCAGGCGTGGCCTTCCTTACCAACGCCACATGGCTCCAGCTCGCCGGCATGACGATCGAGGTGACCTCGACCAATGCTGCCATCAAGTCAATCGGTTAGTGCGCGCGGCCAACACACTCGCTCAGTGCAAACGCGATGCTCATGCCCGGTCTCCCCCCCTCTCCCTCTCTTGTGGTTTCCAGGTGTCGACATGCGGACTGCGGGAATCTGGGTGCAGAGCGACAGCATCGCCTTCGGCTCCACTGGGAGCAACGTCGAGGGTTCGTCCGTCACATCTCCGCAGCTCCACATTGCCCCCCCCCTTTGAATGTGGTCGGGTGGCGCTAATCGTGAGCCTTCGTGCTGGCCGCCATCTTTGCAGCAATCGCGTGCACGGGCAGCGTTGTTCCGGGCTGGACGAGCTCTGCGAATGTGAGCGGCTATACAGGTACCGCGCAACCTCCTGGTCGGCTGGCGCTGCGCTGCGCTTCTTTCCCCCCCCCCCACGCGGCTCACTCCGCCATGTGCTGCTCTCCCTCCCCAGGTGCCTGTGCTCCATCAGGCACAGCTGCTGCCTCTGCGACGCCGAGTAGTACGCCTCTGGCGAGCCGTACAGCGACCCCCAGCGCCATCCCCAGCAGGACGCCGACTCCCACTGCGAGCGCTTGGCCGACCGTCACGCCCACGCCCACGCCCAGCCCCAGCCGCACGCCGACTCCCACAGCGAGCATCTCGCCGACCGTCTCGCCCACGCCCACGCCCACGCCCTCTTCCACTGCGAGCCCGTCCACCAGCCGCACGCCCAGTCCCTCAGTGACCCCGTCGTTCTCTCCCAGCTCGTCGCCCGTCTACCTGATCTCCAACACCACCACCGTCGAGTCCGTGCCGGTGCTCAAGTTCAACCTGACCGCACCCGACATCATCCTCCTGCCCAAGGGTTCGCATCATTCCGCCCCCAACCCACCATTGGTCGTCTGTTTAAACTCACACGCTCCGATTGGCCGACAACAGATAACCAGGGCACGGTGCAGTCCAAGGCAGCGGTGGGCGTGAGCCTGGCGCAGTTGAAAGAGGTGGACGATGACGGCGCGACCGTGCGGCTGGGCACCACCGTGTCGGGCTCGTGGAAGCCGGTGGTAGACTCCGAGCTGGGCGCCAGCAGCTCGTACCTGTTCACGGGGGGCCTCGACACCTTTGACGCCGCGGGCGACCCCATCGCGACCAGCAACAGCAGCGGCAGCCGGGTCGAACTCCAGTTCTACCTGTTCGACACCAAGACCAACATCTCGGTGGGCGACCTGGCCTTCGACGCGCTGCCCTCCTTCGCCAAGTTCTCGATCCGCCTGTTCGACTGGCAGTGGGCCTCGCCCGCCGACCGCATCGAGCTGCGCATGAAGATCAACCCGTCGTTCATCAACTTCACCCGCCAGCCCAACACGCCGCAGGCCGGCGTGACGACCTTTATCCTGACCGGACAGTACGCCGCCGAGCAGGACACCAAGACCCAGCTGCGGCTCATCGACGCGATCGAGCTCGACGGCCGCCAGGTGGGCTCCGGCGTGCTGTTCGACCTCGACGCCGCCACCTCCGAGCTCGTGCTCCGCTTCGACTACTTCAACTCGACCCTCGTCTACGATCCCGGTACGCTCACACCCGAGCCAGTCCTGCGGATGCTTCGAATTCCAGGAACAAAAGCTGACCGGGTTGGGTTGGGTTGGGTTGTGACTGTGTGGCAGACCTGGGCGTGCTGTTCGGCTCGCCGGCCAGGGGCGAGGGCAGCAGCGGCAGCGACAGCATGCCCCTGATCATCGCCGTGTCGGTGGCGGTGCCAGTGGCCATCGTGCTCGTGATCGGCGCGGCGGTGCTCATCACCGTCATCGCGCACCGCAACCGAAAGCAGCGCCGGCGTCGCCTCACCAAGACCATGCAGATGCACCAGCTCTGATCCATAGCATCCGCAGCGCGCTCACAATTTTGACCAACCCAACCCGTGTATTTTATTTATCAGTTTCTTTATTCTGTTAAAAGAAAACAACCATTTCCCCTCATTTATTTTGTTGTTCTTATTTTTCTTGTTTCGTGCCACGTCGCTTGCCCTTCGTTGAAGAAGGATGAGCAGCCACTGGGAGTGCCCCCTGTGCTTGGAGACCCTCAACGATGCCGTTGAGACGTCCTGGTGCCCCTCCTCCTCCTCCTCCCGCCCCCCCTCTCCACTTTTTACACAGCCAGCTAACGTTGCCCCCCCCCAAATTCCTCTGTTGGCCATGGCTGCAGCGGACACGCCTTCTGTGGTGCGTCCTCTCAACTGCCCACACCTCCTCCTCCTCCTCCTTCTAATGCTACTTGCTCGGGCCGACACCCGCTCACGCGCACATACGTCTCTCATGTATGTTACTACAGCCGGGTGCATACTGCGCGTGTGGGAGACCGACAGGGAGCAGCGACCCATTCGCTGCCCCATCGACCGGCGCAACGTTTCCATGCTCATCCCCAGCTACGCCCTCGTACGCCTCATGGCCCATCTCCTTCCTTCCTTCCTTCCTTCCTATGATGTCGGTGGACTGACACAATAGTTTATTCGTGGGTTTGTGTGTGGTCTTCAGCGAGCCGGTGTCGACGCCTACCGGCGAGAGACTGGACAGGCCGTCGAGCCCGTGCGTTGTGTCGTGTGTGTGTCGTGTGTGATCGCGGCTCGCTCACAAGGAGTGCTGACGGGTGGTTGGTGGTCAGGAGGCGGGTCCAGCAGGCCAGCACGATGCGAAGGTCGACGAGTACAACCAGCGCTACCTGAACGCCGACCGGCCGGTGATGCAGCGGGTGCAGGAGGACTGGGTGCTCTTCAACCGGGTGATGAGCGGCGACCTGACCCTGCGCAAGATCCTCACCACCATCACCATCTGCCTCGGCGTCCTCTACCTCTTCGTCCCGTTCGACCTCATCCCCGACTCTGCCGGTTCGCCAAGCTCCTTTCTTTTTCTTTTTCTCTTTTTCTCTTTCTTTCTTTACGGCTCACTCAACGGGTGATGATCGTCTCCCCAGGGCTGGTGGGTCTGTTCGACGACCTGGTGGTGTGGCTCGCCATCGTCTGGTTTGTTGTGGCCCTGCTCGAGAGTACTCCCCCCTCCCCTCCTCCAACCCATCCCATGAGCGGGTTGCGCAGAGAGTTTGACTTCTTCCCCTCCTCCAGGCTATCGCCAGAACCTGGCCGAGCACCAGCAACGATTTCAGTAGTGCGACACATGTGATGTGTGCGACGGACGGGATGATCGTCAACGAAGGTAACATAACTACAACGAAGGCCATCATGATGATTAGGATTATGTATCTTTTTGTACAGCCGCGCGATGTGGCCACGACGATGATGATCTTCATCGAGAAAGAGAAAGAGGTGATGATCACTCGACGATCCAGGTGGTGACTTCGGAGTAGAAGAAGTAGGAGGTGGCCCAGTCGGGCAGCATGCGGCTGAGGGCCTCGAGCTCGGGGGTCATCCGGAGGTGGGTGCCGGCGGTGTCGAGCCGCACCGGGTCGAGCCCCCGCATGCGGAGGAGCACCACCCACTCGCGCGTGCCGTAGCCGCCGATGTGGCGGATGAAGTAGTCGCCCCGCGCCGCCGGCGGCGGGGTGGAGAAGTGGGGCACCTTGCCCGCCCGCCAGTCCTCCGTCGACGAAAAGGCCCACTCCAACAGCGGACCTTGCAGCCACCCAATCACACGCAGGTTAGCATTCTATAGAAAACAAAAATGATTCTTCGGTCGAAGGTGAGGCTGAGGGTGGTGGTACTGTCGGTGGCGTCGAGCCGCAGGGTGGAGATCTCGAAGCCGGAGTAGTCGAACGACAGCACCAGCGTGCGGATGTCGGTCGAGGCGTGGAACTCGTCCTTGAGGACGCGGATGGTGGGGTGCTCCATGCGGCCCGAGGAGAAGAGGCCCGGGCCGACGGGCGCCGCAGCCGGAAGCTGGACGGCGCTCATGAAGGGCTGGAAGGGGTAGACCGGCAGGAAGTTGTAGAGCACGTCCTCGGCCTTCTTGAACGAGGGCGGCGGCCCGTCCAGTCCCGAGAAGACCACGTCGGCCGGGATGTAGTCGAACGAGCCTAGCAGCACGAAGCTGTCGTCGGCGTCGGGCTTCCCGCTGCGGTCCTCGGCGTTGAACTTGGCGATCATGTCCGCGATCTTGGCCGCCTGGTCGTCGGGCGTGGTGGGAAGGCCGGTGGTCGTGGCTGTCTTGTGGAGGACCTGGACGGGGCGGTGGTAGGTGTGCTGGGCGATGAGCCGCTTGGGCGTAGCGGCGCCGTAGGGGAACGACAGGAGCGCGACGACGATCAGCACCAGCAGCACCACGCCGGCGATGCGGATGGCGTAGCGCAGGTTGCCGGCCCGGATCAGCGCGGGCACGGCCGGTACCAGCAGGCACAGGGCCATGAGACTCGTGATGGCCCCGATCACCAGGTCGGGCGGCACCGCCACGCCGGCCCGGCCGAGCAGGGGCAGGATCATGTCGAGGCCCACCTGGTAGGCCGGGAGGGTGAGCAGCGCGGTGGGGGCGACGGTGAGGGCGTAGAAGAGCGCGCTGGCGGGGGCCTCGGTCCAGTGCGGGAGGCCGTGGGCGGGCACACGCTGGGCGCGCGGGCCGGAGCCGATGATCGCATCATGGTGGTCGGCGGAAGCGTGGCGGAGGCGCGGGAGGATGGCCGACCGGTAGAGCAGCTGCCACGCCCGGGCGGCGACGAGGAACAGGCTCTGGGCGGCGAAGAACCACGAAGTGAAGACGCCAGCGGCGGTCAACAGCAGGGAGATGGTGGTGAAGAAGAGCATGCCGGCGTGCACCGCCAGCTCCTCGGTCGCTTCGGTCAGAATCGTGTGGTCCTCCACCGGTTTGCTGCAGACACACATATATGTGGACGAAAGGTAAGAGTTTCGATTGAAAGATTGTCGTCGACAGGACAATTACGAACCCGTATTGGTGGACGTTGTTGATTGCGGTGAAGACTCGTCGCTGCAGAAAACAATAGTAAGGCGTAGATGGTGAGGTCGTGGCACAGCGCTTCAAGAAAATGGGTGGCAGATGATGGTGACGTGGCGTACCATCACCAGGAGAAAGCCCAGCACAAACGCGGCCGAGTGCAGGGTGGTGCCGAGCCAAGGCGCGGAAAAGTATGACAGGGGATGGCCCAGGACGTTGCCCAGCACCAGCGCTGACGGGGACCAAGAGTTGTATGAGCGAAGAGTGCGCTCGGAGCCAAAAAAAAAGAAAAAAAGAGAGAATAGCGGGTGGGCACGTACCGGTGAGGACCGATGAAAGCACGCCGGCCAGCGCGGCCTGGAGCATGCCGACGTACATCTGGCGCAGCTTGGTGCGGTCCCCTTCACGAATCGCGCGCCAGCTGAAGCCGACGCACAAGCACGCAGCCGCGACGTTCGCCACGAAGCCCCAAAGCGCGGAGTAGGCCACGCACCAGCCTGGCGTGAGCGCGGCCAAGCAAGGCGGTCAGGCCGAGGGTCCATCAGCAGAGAAAGGAGGAAGAGAAGGGAAAAGTGGGTACCGAAGAGGCTGAAGTAAAAGGCTCGGCTGCTGGAGCTGTCGCGCGGCTTGGCCAGGAGGTGGTCGGAGGCCTGCGCGTCGGTCAGGTGCCGCGCCAGCGCCAGCGTGTTGCCGCCCATGTGTTGGATGCTGCCGGGCGTCACCACGTCCAAGTCATCCAGCGGAGTGTGGTACACGTATCTACGACACGAGAGTGCGTTGGGTGTGAGTGAGTGACGGAGAGAGTGGACTCTCGAGAGTCGGTGCGTAGTGGTTGACCGGCCCCATACCCGTTCTGGTAGAAGGCCATGTCGATGCCGGGGATCTCGCCAAAGTCGCGGAAGATGCGGTAGTCCGTGTCGGCGGGGATCACCCCCGACTGGAAGATCTCCGCAGCCTGCCCGACGGAGCGAGAGAGAGAGAGAGAGAGAGAGAAGAGGGAAGAGAGTAAGACGATAGGCCGCGGCGCTCAGTAGTATACGAAGTGGGGGAGTGGAGGGGGAGAGGAGGAACGAAAGGCGTACGGTGACCATGGTGTGCGGGTAGGGAACGACGCTGGCGTAGGCGTAGGCGAGGTCGGCCGAGCCGATCTGAAAGGCGAGCGCAGGCCCGCCGGCGCCGGCGGCTTCGAGATTCACCACCGCCTTCACTCTGTCGTGAACTGGAGTGATGAGTGTACGCGACGAAGGAGTGAGGGTGAAGGGTAAGCGGAAGCGTAGCGAGTACCGTTTGGCGAGCGGGTGTTGGGTGACAAAGGCGTGGGAGGCCGGGAGGAGAGGCTCCTCCGCTCCGTTGAAGAGGAAGAGCACGTCGTAATCGAGCGGCGGCTCGTAGACCAGGTTCCGCACCATCTCCAGACACGCCACCTTCATGAGGGCAGCAGCCCGAGAGAGAGAGAGAGAGAACGGTGTGAGTAGGTAGAGAGGGAGGGGACCCTAAGGCGCTGGCAGCGTACGGTGGCCACGCCGTCATCGGAGGCGCCGGTTGCGCCGACGCCGGAGTCGAAGTGGGAGTTGATCAGCAGGAGAGGCGAATAGGCATCTGTGGCACAGGCGCAGGGACCACTAGCCCGTGAGTCGTGGCGGTGGAAACAGTGAGTGAGTGATGGCGTGAACGCGGGAGCGGTACCGACGGGCTTGTTGCGGGCAGGCACGCGAACAAGAATGTTGGTGATGTTGGAATATGTGTTGGTGATGTAGGCGTCCACAAAATAGAGCGTGTATGCGCTCGAGCCGCTCTGCAGCTCGATATCCAGCAGGCGTCTCCCACCATCGATCGCCTGATGTGTGGCGGAGATGTGCGCAAGTGAGAGTGAGCGGCCACCTTCGCCCGATTCGTAGTTGTTGTTGTTGTTGCTTACCTTGGCCTCTTCTTGCACGGCATTGAGCTTCTCAAGCAACCAGTTGACCGTGAGAACATCGTTGTTTCGCGTGCCAGCTTGGCCTGCACGTCACGGAGGCATCAGCGCTGCCTGTCGTCTGGGCGGCACAGTTTCCCTGAATCGAGAAAGGCGAACCGCAACGCACCACACCACACAACATGACGAGGGAGAGGAGATGGGCGTACGCCAGCCTATCTGCTTGATGAGCTGCTCCAGGTGAAGCCGCGCTCGGCCTTCGGAGAATAACTGTGGCGGAGCTCCGGCGGGCACGGGCTCGGGCACCCGGCCGCTGTAGGTGGTGACGAGCCAGCAGAGGGCGCCACAGGCGAGCAGGAGGGCGACGTACACCGCCAGCGTACGGCCGGCCGGCTTGGGTCCCCACAAACTGGGCTTGCTGTGTCGGCGGTGCGCTGTTGGGTGGCAGGAGTGGTGTGCCTGCTCGAGCTCGTCTTCCAGTGCCAGGCCCGCAGTTGGGGCGAGGCGCCTCTGGTGGAGGTCCATTTTACAAATATAAACTATAAATGTAGCTATAAAAGATGTACTCTTGCTGGTGGGGCTTGCACAACACAAGGGCACAGTGTTCGGACTGTTGGCGTACACCCGCACGCCGACAGCGGGTACATTCGGGCTGGCAAACCTGGTGAAATTCTGACGACAAGCAGCAAGATAAAATCCCTACCAACCAGCAAGCAACGCGTGGCACCACAGGATTCGTTCTTGTTTTGAGCGAGAGTCCAACGCTGCTTACGAGATGGAGCCGCCAGAGAGCGACGTGGCCTTGCACGGGCCGGCGGAAGTGAGGAAGACCAGCTCCTTCTGCTTCTCCTTGTCCCTGTACGACGCTACCAGGTCGGCGTTGATGAAGAGATCCTGCGCCGCCACAATAAAGAGAATAAGAGTTGGGATCAGTAAGCAGCCCAACGCACAACATGGCGTGATGTTTCGGAGAAGAGGGCGGCAGGTACCGGCTTCAGGCCCTCGAAGATCTTCTTCTTGGGGTTCAACTCCTTGTCCGGCTCGCCCTCGTAGCCTTCACCGAAGAAGATCCTCTCGCCAATCTTGGCTCCCTCCTGTTGGTTGGTTCGCCGCAACGGTCAGCCATCAACCACTTGGCCGTTAGCTGAGGAGCTCAAGAGGGAGTGTTACCGGAGGCTTGATGAGCTCCACCTGCGTGTGGTCGGCGTTCGAGGCACAGAGCACCATGGCCTGCGATTCGATACCCCTCATCTTGGCCGGCTTGAGGTTGCACAGGCAGATGACGCGGGCGTCCTAAGGTTGGTTACGGAAAGCAAAAAAAAAGTAAGCAACCGAAGCCCTCTGGCACTGTGGTGGGCACAAAGGCAATGTCATACCTGCATCTGCTCGATGGGGATGAAGTTGACCAGACCCGAGACCACCTGGCGCACCTTCTCCTCGCCCAGATCGATCTCCTCCAGGTACAAGCTGCCGATTGGAGTAGGTCAGTCGGGACAACTCAAAATGGGCAAGTATAAAGACGCAGCTCGGCGAGTACCTGTCAGCGGAAGGATGCTTCTTTACGCTCGTGATCTTGCCCACCCTGATGTCCAGACGGACGATATCGGGGACAGCCGGACCAGCAGCGGCAGCTAAGGAACAAGCGAGAGTCAGCTATACGTGCAGGCATTGCGCTACTGTGAGCTGACAAATCGTATCGTACCAGCAGCCTGGCCCTTGGGCTGCTTGGGTTGCCTGGGTGCCTTGGCCTTACCAGCCTCAGCCGCTCCCTCCGGCTTCTTCTCCGCGGCCTGCTCCGCCGCAGGCTTGGCCTGAGCAGCGGGCTTCTCTTCCTTCTTGGGCGGCTTCTGGAGAACATACGAGGGTTTAGCTAAACGTCCTTCGACACTCTCCACCTCTACAGCAGACTTGGCGAAGGGAGCGTACGGGGTTGAGGGGGTAGTTAAGGTCGAGCTCCACAATCGGCACACCGGCGCTGCGGACAGCAGGGTGGTGCTGAATAAAGTCGAACCAGCGAGCCGCACCAGCAAAACTGAACTGGGTGTGCGAGTCAAGGCCGGGCTGTGTTGACAAGCGAAATCAGTATCACGATGAGTGGCGAAGATTGTGGCACAAGAGGGACGTACCACAAGAGGAAGGAGGGCAGCATAAACAGCAACATCAGCGGCCGTCAGGTTGTTCGAGACCAGGAACACCCGGGGAACGAGATGCTTGTGCAATTTGCCAAGCTTACCAAAGTGCTTGGCCTTTTCGAAGCCACCAGAGGTGTCGCCGAGCTCCTTGCGGGCGAATGCCAGCCACTTCTCAATCTGCAGTCGAAAGATCTTTAATCAGGACTGTCCCAGCACTAAATGATCCGAATTGAGAATGAATGAATTAAAATTAATTTAATTTACCTCCTTCTTATCCTCGGGGGTGGCCCCGAGGAAGGCTTCGGCCTGCTTGTTGCTTTCTATGTACGACGCGATCGCCTCGACATTCTTGAGAGCCGCGAAGCCATTGATCGCGTCGATCAGGGGGGCAGATGTTGACGCCATTTGTGCTTCCGATCTTTTTCTGGCTTCCTGCTCAGCTGCCTCTCGGATGGTCTGCATGGTCGCGTGCTGTCGAAAATAGCGAAGCCCACAACTTTGGGCGCCTGGCCTGGAACTGCAGATTCACCATTCTGTCTATTCCGTCCGGTCTTCCCCGTTTGGCGCCAAAACTGTGAACCACGCCAAGCAGATCACAAACGCACGATTCGAGTAGAGAGATGGACACCACGCTGGCCCTGCCCGATGAAGAGAACAAAGAAAACGTCGTCGGACGAGAGTCGAGACGGATTTTGAAGACGGCTGTCTCCCCGAAGGACATCTGGTGGGCGAACATGCTACTGTTGGGATTTTGCCCAATCGAGAATGAGAAAGTGTACGCCGTTTCTTTCCATCCCGACATGTTCGAGCAAGCGAGCACCAAGGGCATGCAAGTGGTCCTCTACTACCTGCTTCGACAAATCAACAGGGACAAAACGAAGAAGGTATGCACCGTTGCCAGTGCCATTACAAAATTAATTGTTTAACATCTCTCTTCATCTGAAGGCATTCAAAGGTTGCTGGCCGACTCTTGACATGAAAAATAACCTCAACGATTACAAGAAGGCCGCAAACAATCTCATCACCGAGCTTGAGCACGATGGAGAGATCCCAGCTGGAACATTTCGACTGTCTCATCTCCAAAGCGTCGGCACTAGGTACGCTCCTCTTCAAAGCAGCAAACTCCACCTGCTGACCGGCAGTTCGACTCTTCCAGATTCTACACCCTTCTCTGGCATCTCTCCGTCGCGGCGATCAGGGGCGCTCTGGTCAAGAAGTACCCGTCCGCCGCGCCTCCGCAGAAGCGCCTGATCGATGCCGGCACCTACAAGCTGGCCGGTGTCATCGCCAAAGCACCAAAGGTCTCGCGACATAGGCTTCCGACCTTGTGGCATGGCGCTGACTCCTCTCTTTACACAGCATCTCATTGAGCGCCAGAGGCAGCGGTTCCTGTCACATGCGCAAGCCGTCGTGGCAGTGCAGGGTGAGTGGCGCACATGCGCGCGGGACCTCGAAAACGAGTACAGGAGTCTTACTCAGCAGATGGTACGCACCATTCAATGACCCGGCTCGCTGATCGTGTTTGCTCACCAGCAAACGCACAATCTCCAGAACAAATTGAAGGAAGAACGCAAGCGCCTGGCGGGCTTTGAGAAGAAGAGCGAAGATTACATCAACAAGAGGCAAAAGAAGATTGAACAGATTAAGCGTGTGTGGGGTCTGTTCTCCAAGTATCACGAAGAGAATACCGCCAACCGAGGTGCGTGGCGTTATCCTTGACTCCCTTTAGCCTTTAGAGCACGCTTAATGCCAGTTCTCTCCCTACTAGATATGCTGGACAACATCGCATCGGGCAAATCGAGCAAGCTCGCGCTGAACCAGGCGGATATGTACAGCGACTTGGCGTCGCTCCGTCAGCAGCTGCTGTCGTCGTCCATGTGCTCCCCTGTCTCGCCCGCCACCGCGCAAGCTGCGTCTACGGCCGTACAGACGCTGAGCTACCAAGAGTGCCAGCTGCTGCTCTCGGTCAACCCGCTCAGAGACGACCAGTTGGATCTTCTCACACTCATCAAACTGTGGAACCTGTCCCTGTCGATAGTGAAGAAACGGATCGAGTCGAACCACCTTCTAGAGCGGTCACATGCTGGTACGGTACCACGCCATCTGAATGTGCGTTTAGTTGGTGTGGTGATTGTGCTCATTTATGATATTTTCCTCTGTGTGTTGGCAGCAGGCAGCCAACTCACAGAGGATGCGCCCATGCTGACGAACTTGCTGGATGCCCATCAAAATCGCCTCTCCGCCCTCTCAGCGTTCAACAACAGTCTCAACGAAGAGCTCCCCGCTCTGCAGGAACAGACGACAGAGCTACGCAAACTCTTCCCACCAGAGCCGAGCATCACCGGTAAGCCAGCCGTTATTGTTTCACGTAACTGCTGTTATCCTGACACGCGCCTCTATCAGTTCCTGCCACGCCTTCTCGCAGACCACTGGGACTGCAAACCCCCTCGCGAGGGAGCGCCGACGCCAGGTACGTGCGTTGCAGTACCACGTCGATAGCGCTCATTGCTAAGAGATCACATGCTTCACACACAACAGCACCGGGTTTGAACTTCTGCCACCTACGCCTGATCTCGCGCTCGAGAAATGCCTGGACGAAGCCCAGGACGAGACCGCAGACATGCCCGCCCAGGTCGGCGCGACTCCGCTGCCAAAGCGCGAGGACCAGGAGCGGATGGTTGATTCCATCCACCGGGCCGCCAAGCAGAGAAGGCCCCGCCTCAGCATCGGATCGGGGAGGGCTGCAGGTACGTGCGAATTCGTACCAGAGCTGCTATTGTGGTGCGTGCACTCTCCGTCCAGCGCTGACCCTTCTACGCATTCAAGGCGGCTCGACCGTGGCGATGAAGAAGGCGATGTTCTCGCGCAGCAAGCTGACCGACGAGGACAAGGCCTCGCCGAACGGCGGCGGCGTGCTCTCGTCGCCGCTTAACACCAGCGGATCGAGCAGCGACGGCGAGCAGCAGAGATGGGGCAGGATGGCCGACGGCCACGTGGGTGGGTTGGAGCTGTCCCCCATGCGCGAGATGACGGCCCAGTTCACGCTCAATCTCGGCCTCTTCTCGCCGTTCGGTGGACCCGGCAAGGGCGCCTCTGCCTCGACCATCTCGTACCTCAATCGGCCGGGCGGAATCCTGCCCCCGTTCGCCTCCCGCGCTCCCGCGCCTCTCCGCTCCCCTTCGCCCGCCTCCTCGCCCGCCGAAAGCCCCTTCGCTTCCGACCCGCTCTCGTTTATGGACTCCTTCGCTCCGGCCCGCAGCGGGACAGTGGGCACCGGCCCCGAGCGGCAGCCGTTCAAGCCGGCCTTCAAGATGGAGGACGACGAGGACGCGTGGCTAATGAAGGAGGACTCCTTCCTGCAGGCCACCTCCACTCCGCTGCCCGCTGGACTGGAGAGCTGCGCCGCCTTCGCCGCCGCGTACTCGCACAAGGACGCGCTCGCGCATCTCGGCGATGAGGATGTGCTCGCACAGCTCGACGACCTCGAGCACGACGACGAACCTCTAGAGGATGACCTCGGGGCGGCCGTGGAGCGCCAGGATGCGCTCATCAGCCTGATGGCCGACAGGCTCACTTCGAACATCCTGCGCGAGGACAAGGGGTGGCAAGAAGACGCCCTCAACGACCTCTCCATGGCGCTCGATGACCTCGAAGACGGCGACTTGGGCCGCACGCAGCAATTCTCGACCAACATCACCGCTCTGAGACATGCCGCAGACGGAGACGTTGACCACGATGGCGCCGAAGAGGAGGTCGATGAAATCGGCGAAGCAGATTTTGACGAGCTGGAGGAGGCCGAGCTGGAGTACGGCGACGCGGAGGCCGAGGTCGAGGCCGAGCCTGAAGAGGCCTTCGCGCCGGATGACTATTCGGTGGAGATCCGGGGGAGTGTGCGAGACGAGGTCAAGAAGAAGCGGGTCTCGCTCGGCTTCGACCTGCGCGAACTCGAGAGCGACGAAGAGGGAGAGGACGAGGAGGAATTGAACGCAACTATGGCCGTGACCGAGCACGTCGGGCTGAGCGATGACGGCGACGATGAGGACGCAGAAAATAAGAAGGAAACTGAGGTCGAGCAGGTCGGCGAAACGACCTTGGCAAACGAAGATGAAGGAAGTGACGAGGAAGAGAAGGAGGAGGAAGGAGGGAACGTGGATTGGTCGATGGCGATCGAATCCGAGGAAGAGGGAGACGAAGAGGAAGACGTCTCCATCGACGGCGACGAGGAGGAAGACGAAGACGTGGTGGAGATCAACATGGAGGCCGAGATCGCCAAGGCCGGCGGGCTTGGAGATTCCGCCGATGAAGCTGAAGAAGATGAGAGCCACTGCGCCGACGAAACGGCCTTGGGCGACTATTCCGTCCTCGACATCACTTTCAAGCCACCCAACGGTACAGCCTGTTTTCCTTCCAGAGCTAGACTTTGTTTTCCTTGTGATTGGTGACACGCTTGCTGACCTGCCACCTTTCTTTGCCCCACTGCTGGCCAGGTGACGGCAAGGACGACGACCACGTGCCCGCCAGCAGACACTCGAGCAACGACGACCTGTTCGCGGATCTGCAGGAGGAACTCGGCGAGCAAGAGGACGACGAGGATGACGAGGAAGCGGATACAACAATCCAGCGCCCCGATTGCGAAGAAGAGTATCTGGAAGACACCTTCGAGGGCGAGGTGAAGAGCATCGACGAACTGATCGGCGACCTGTCGTCGGCCGAGGCCTCCTCTTCATCGTCATCCGTCAACGCGACCACGACGACTACGGTGGTCGACGACATCTTCTTCGGCCTCGACGACGAGGAACGGGAGGCCAAGGAGTGGGACACCTTCTGCGCGTCTCCGGCCATTGGCTTCGGCGGTGGCCGACGGAAGGAGGCGCCCCAGATGGGCCTGTCGCTGCTCTCGGCCGGCGAGATGGACGAAACGGTGATGGACGGCCTGCTCACGCCGGCGGGCGTGCGGGGCGACGACGACGGTCTCGCCCGACGGCTCACATCGGCGGTCACCCCCTCGCTCCACCCCAACGGCAGCGGCTCGGTCACGTCGCCCACCCGACCCCGCAAGAAGCTGTCCTTCTCATCACTGCAGTGAAAACGACGACCACCACCACGACCACCACAGAGCTCCTTGGAGGCGCCCTTGTATTTACCAATTGGTTCTCTTTTTATTGTTCATCTCTTAGTGCCATTGGTGGGTTGCGTTTCGACCGAAAGTATGGAAGCTTGAAGAGAGCAATCCAAGTTTACGTTTATTAGAAGGTCAAAGACGACAGGAGGTCGAGGGCGTGAAGGGCTTCGCCTGCGACCGTCAGGGCCTTGAGTCCGGTTGCCGCTGAGTCTGCCTTCTTATGCTTTTTCTCTTCCTTCTTCTCCTCGTGCTCCTCGCCGCCACCGCTTCTCTCTGGTTGCGCTGCTGTTTCAGTCGTGTGTACCACCAGAGTTTCCTCCGCGACCAGTCCCTGATCATCTGCGGCTGCGGCGGCCTTGCTGTGGTCCTCGGGGCGGAACAGGGTCCGTAGTCCCTGCGACAGCGAGCGGCTTCTGGCGTTCTTGAGCTGCACCTTCTGCACTTCGATCGAGGCGGGGGCTGTCCCGTCAGCGGCGGCGGCCTCCTTCTCCTTGTGGAACAATCCCCGCAGGCCATGCGAGAACGAGCGGCTCCTGGTCTCCTTCGTCTTCGTCGCCTTCCGCTCCGGGTGTTGGGGGTTGGTGGATACGGTCTCCACTCTCTGGTCCACGTAAGATTGGGAGTAGAGCGGAGCCGCGGTACCCTGTTGTCCACGTCTCAGAACACCATCAATGCCTGGTGGCAGATATGGATGAGAAGGGAGAGGGCACCTGCTGCGGCGCATAAGTCGGGTACACAGGTGGCTGGGGAGGATAGAGACCGCCTCCTCCTCCCTGCTGCCAAGGCTGGACGTAGCCGGGCTGCTGGGGCGGCGGCGGAGGAGAGGCCTGGCCGGTAGCGTAGCCCTGGTACTCTGGCGGCTGGCCCTGGGGAGGATAGAGGCCTGCGCCGCCCTGCTGCCAAGCGTAACCGGGGCTCGGCTGCTGCGGAGGCGGCGGCGGAGGCTGAGGGGAGGCCTGACCGGCAGGATAGCCCTGTTGCTGCTGCTGTTGCGGCGGGTGCGGCGCCTGAGGAGGATAGGCCTGGCCGGCAGCGTAGCCCTGCTGGGGAGGCTGATGGTAGGCCTGGCCGGCAGCGTAGCCCTGCTGTTGCTGTTGTGGTGGCGGTGGCGGCTGAGCCTGCGGATAGCCACCACCTCCTGCGCCGCCCTGCTGCCAAGCGTAGCCGGGACTCGGCTGCTGCGGCGGCGGAGGCTGAGGGTAGGCCTGGCCGGCAGGATAGCCCTGCTGCTGAGGAGGCGGAGGGTAGGCCTGGCCGGCAGGATAGCTCTGCTGCTGAGGAGGCGGAGGGTAGGTGGACTGCTTGCTTGGGAAGCTTCCCCGCTGCTGAAGGTAGTCGGTCCCGTACGGTCGATAGCCTGATGCTACTGCTACAGGTTTAGGGGACATGGTTCAGGACAGTCGTGAAGGGAGCAACGCACCGGGAGGCTGGGGCGGACTGTATGGATTGGGAGGCCCAACCTACGGGGATGGAGGGTTAGCCGGGGCGTAGCAGGTGAGTGCGGCTGCGACTGCGTTTACCTGGGGGTACCAATCGAGGTTCTCCTCGTTCCTGTAGAGGTAGTTCAAGTCGTAGCTTTTCTCTGCGAGTGATTGAAGGTGTTACCTTTACTACACTTTTACTTAGCAAGAAGGACGAAGTACCCGTGGAGGTCATGGTGCTGTAGTAGTGGGATCTGTGTGGCAATGGCGTGGTCTTTTGAAAACGTACAAAACGCTGTTCCTACTTCCAAGCCGATTGATTCGCTGACCCTGTTGAAGCGGCACTAGAAAGCCGTCTGAATGCAGGAGCAGCTCCACTCGAACTGCGCCCATCAGCCTCAGCGAATTCGATTCACGGCTCCACTACCACCGCTGGACCCTCCCTCTTTGCCTCTTGGCGTAGACTTGGCGGACGTGTGTTGGCAGGACGAGAGGAGAGAAGGCAGCACATCAACTTTTGTATTTAGTTTCAAAGACCGCCTTTGATTGGGCTGAGCTCAGCTAAAAGAATAAAAACGTCTTAAAAAGGCAAAAAGGGCGGTGTAAAGAACACGGACTAAGTCAAGTTGTTGAGTGCGGCCAACACATCAACGCCGGTGCTGAAGAGCTTGCCTGCGCCCATCAGCGCCTGTAAGCCCGTGCTCAGCGAGGTGTGGTGGTCGTCTCCCTTCTTCTTCTTTTGGTCGTGGTGCCCGCCCCGCATCTGGGTTTCCGTGGGCATGCTCTCTGCTCTCGGCTGCAGCACAAAGCCACCATCAGTTCTTCGTCTCTCCGTCAGTGCGGGCGTCAACGACGTACCCCTTCGTATTCCTCATAAGTGGGCGTGGCAACAGCCTGCCACACACACACCAAGTCAAGACCACCTCAGCTGGGGGATGGAGAGGATGTGAGGCGTACCTGTTGCTCCATGTAGGACCTGGGGGCTTGATACGCAGGTTGCGGATAGCCGCCCCCCTGCTGCCAACCGTAGCCGGGACTCTGCAGCGGCTGGCCGTAGGTTTGAGGATACGCCTGAGGAGCCGCGTATCCCTGCGGCGGCGGGTAGTAGGCCTGCTGCGGCTTGGGCACTTCGGCAAGGTACCCACCGGGCTGCTGAGGGTCGGCATAGCCATACGGCCCATAGCCTGGCGCAGCGACCTATCAAAGGGGAAGAGAATTGGGACAGCACACCTTCGGTCGGCGTTGGCGGCGGGGTGTACCTGCGGGTAGTAGTCCAGGTTCTCTTCACCTCGAAAGAGGTTTCCCACATAGTAGTTTTCATCTGCGGCAACGCTGGGTCAGAACGCAGTTGCACGTTAAGAACTGGAAGGAACTGGAGATACCAAACGCTGACATTGTTGGGAGCTGTGATCGTATGGTCTTTACCAGCTCGCGTGGTTTGGCTTCACTTTATACACAGAGACGAATGCACTTGCAAGTGGCTCCCTATGACATGCGTTCAGTCTTTCTTAGAGACTGTGACACGGCTCCACCACACTCCCCGTCCTTTCCTGATACCGCTTTCGTTGGGCACCTGCACAAGAACCGGACCAGAAGTAAGTCCGGTACAAAAGAAAGGGTGCCGGTCCAGACCGAAATACCGATCTTCGGACCTAAAACTGCAGGTCCGCTGCCACGAAAGGTGTGAAGCGCATGTAGGGTTGGCAGCTGAGATAGGTTAAGAGTGAGCACTCGAAAAGGTTGGGAGGCGGGTGATTAAAAAAAAGTCGCTTCTGTAACGGAGCCATCCGCTATGCGGCAGGTGGACATGAAGACCGCGACGGAACCTCCCCTCGCTGGAGCGATCATCACCATCTTGGGTGCGCGTCGCTTGATCGTCGTCGTCGTGGTCTTCGTGCGCAGTGTTCGTCAGTCGGTTGGTCGTTGGTCAGTTGCGTTGGCGTTGGTTGCTGTTCATTCGTTCTAGGGAAGGTCGTTCTCCGAGTATTCTCGCCGGCTGCCCAGGGCCCGGCGTGGCGGCGTAGACATGCCTATGCCCACGCGTAGGGGCGTGGGCGTGCCCTCGATGTCGCTGGTCCTCCTCGCCACAGCTGCGGCCAGACCGCCGGGCACCATTGGCGGCGTGTAGATCCTCGCCGGAGGCTCGCTGCACAAGCAAGGGCAATAATGAGTGAAACAGACGAAAGAGAGAGAGAGAGGAGCGAGCGAGCGAGCGAATGAACGCGCCAGCACAACACCAGCTCGAGTAACAACATATAGAGCATGGATCTTCATCGTACGTGGGACCGGGCGAGTCGCTTCTGGGGAGTGGGAATGATCCAGAGCCCACGGCCGGTAGAGGACAAGAATCACCGTGCCGGGAACTGAATGAAGAGGAGCGACCCGGCATCTTGCCTGTGTTGTTGGACGGACGTTGAATGGTGGGTCAAACACGAACAGTGCACGGCATACAGGACAGGTACCGAAGCCGGGCCTCACCCCAGTCCTGTCCGAGTCGGCCCCTCCCGAATCGGGGGAGCGGATGCCAACGCCGAAGTCGGAGGGCAACCTGGGGAAGGGGGGAGGTTGCGGGAGTGGGTGCGGGTGGTGTATTTCCTGCGTTCCCGATCCCAGCATGTCCGGGGTGGCCGGCGACCGGGGCATGCTGCTCACGCTCAGGCTCCCGCTGCTGTCGCTCATCTCCGCCGCTGTGTGGGATGGAGCAGTGTGCAGGATGATGGCCTGGGATGCTGCTTTGAGCTCCAATTTCTCCTGGTACCCCCGCATCGTTGCATTGTTAGTGTCGTTGGGCATACAGGAAGATAAGAGGAGGAGAGAAGAGAAACGCACCTCGCCAACAAAGATTTCGTCGCAGTATTTGATGAGAGATATGATGACCGACACGGGGAGATCCATGCTCATGAAGTTCTCCTTCTCCTCTCGCAGGAGCGTGGGTCCCCACACGATGCCCAAATTGTCGGGAGACATGAAGTTCAGTTTCTCGTGCGCTGCCTGTTGCCATGAAGCGCGCGTTGGCGTCAGCATCCCACCATGGGCACAGCGACGCCCGCCTAGTCCTAGTTGGGAGGGTCAAACGAACCACGTCCTTGAGCAATCGAGTCACGGTAGCGAAGAGAGCTCGGTTGACGGGAGGTAGAGCGGCGAGGGCCGCCATGAGCATCACCTTGCCCTGCTCCGCGTCGGGTTCCCTCTGGCTGTCGCAAAACAGCTGATAGCCTTTGTACGTGCACAGGGGCTCCGGAAGCTCCCTTCACGGACCAAGCACAACTGATTAGGCCAGGGGGGCGCGCGGTGAGGGGTCGAGGTGAGTGGGTTGGTTTTACCTGAAGTAGAGCTTGAGCATGCTCGCCACCGAGTGGACGTGAGATTCACTAAACTTAGGATCCTCTCCTGCAACCATCCGTGAGTCGAGTTGTCGCCACCGGGTCACGAGTGTTTGTAATGCAAGGGGCAACGAGCTTGCGGAGAGCCCAGTGTTGCAGTGCGCACCTAAGTTGTACTTGGCCTTGAAGCTGTTCACCTCTTCCGCCGAACCGGAACTCGGAAGATGCCCTCCGTCATCAAGTGATGGCCTGGCCCATTCCACCACGTGACGATTCGATCAACATATTGCCATACCTATGAACTTGTTGGTGCGTTTGGGGGGGGGGATACCATTGCCTGAACGAAGAAATTCACAGGCGTGAAGTACGGGCAGGGGGAGCTGGAACTGGGTGTAGGTGATGTACATCACGTGGGGCAGGGGGACCCCAAAAACGGGAACTGATGACGACGGCGAGAAGATGGTCAGTGTGGTGGGGTGCCAGAAGGATATTGTGGTGGGGGACATACTGTTGCGTGTAGCTTTGATGACGCCCTTGGCAACGAGCTCTTGTTCACCAGGCCTCGACATCAAGGCCCTTTCAAGAGCGCTCAGAGGTTTGCCCCCTGACGCTGGTGCTAGGTGCAAGGAATAGCTATTAATCTCTTACCATCATCTTACCAGTCGCTCTTGGGGGCAGCCTACCATTGTTGTTGGTGAAGTTGGTGGTGGACGAACGCTTCGCCGCGAAGAAGCCTGCCCTTTTCTTCCTCTCCTTTTCTAGCAGCAGCTGCTCCTTCTTCTTCTCTTTGTCGGCCTTCTTCAACGCCTTGGCCGCGGCCTTCTGATCGGCCTTCTCTTTCTTCTTGGCTTCCTTGTCGCTCATCGTGAATCTCTAGATTTATATATCACTCTGTCCCTCCTTCCAGGTGTCACCTGGCCCTCTTCCTCCTTCGCTCCACTTTCACACACCGAGCGAGTGAGTGTCTGGCGTTGTGTTGTCTTCCTTCTGGAAGAAGACTTTGAACGTCGCGGTCAACTCGAGAGGGAGAGGGACACGTGTACCACCACTTTTTCCACTTTCCATATTTGTCGGCAACTTACCTTATTTTGTGGCGAAGGGCGAAGGGTCGAGACGGCGCAGCTACAAAACGAACCAACAACATGTTGTTGAAGGCACGTGAGCTTTTAGTGGCAGTCCTGGTATACATACATCACGCTGGAGCCACCGTGTCTCGCGTCGGAGAGCACACAGTAGGTCGAATATAATACATAGGAAAAGAAGTGGAGAGAGGGAAAAAGAGAAAGAGAAGATAATAAATAAAGAGAGATAGAGAGGAGAAGAGAGGAGTAGGAGGGATGAACCACGGTAGAGGTGGCCGGCCAGACAAGCCATCGGTTTGCCCGACCCACACTCCATCACAGCTGCGGGACCAACCCACCATAGGGAGAAAGGGGTCAATCTCAGCGCGCGTACGAAGTCGATAGAGGCGCGCAATCACAGGACGGAACGTACCCCTAATACACTACACGCACGACGAGGGTGGTGTTGCTGTTACTGCTTGGCGTCGTCGGCCGCGTCGTCGAATTCCCGCTCCGAGTCTGCGCTGAGCTGCTTGAAGTTCTTGTAATTCTCCCGCTTCATGCTGGCAAATCGTCGCTTCGGCGCACCGCCCCCGTTGGGAGTGGAAGAGGGAATCGGGTCCCGATCCGTGGCAGGCCTCGCCACCGCGACCATGTCCTTGAGCTCGATCGCACCGAAGGCGGCAGAGTGGGCCTTGAAGTCGTCCCTCTTCATGCTGCTGTACTTCTTGACCGGTTCCTCGAACTCCTCCTTGCTTCCATCGACGAGCGCGGCAGAGGACTTCTTCTCGAGGGGCCTGAGTGAGCTGAACTTCTTCTTCTTCTTGATCTTCTTCTTGCTCTCGTCGCCTCCCGCAGCGACGGAGGCCGCGGCACCGGCCATCGTGCTGCTGTTGCCGAGAGAGCTGTCGGCCTTGCCCTTCTTCAGCTCCGTGAGCATGTCCGCCACGTCGCCAAAATCTCCGCCGGCCGGCAGGTCCTTGGAGTGGACTGAGGGGTACCTCTGCCTTCCCGTTGCGTAGTTAGTTTTCGTTTTCCGTCGTTCCTTCTCCAGAACGGCGGCGAGCGGTGTCGGCGCGGCGTCTTCGTGAATGACCACGTCGCTCTCTTCCTTGTCCAGCGTTGCATCGTCGGTCATCGCTGAGAGGTCGGTACCCGACGATCCGATCGACGAAGGTCCCGAGGAAGTGTATCGAGACGCGCGTGCACTGCGGTAATCCTCCCTCTTGAGGCTGGCGAACTTCCTCGTCTTTGGTGCTCCGGCGGCTGGCGCGTCGGTGTTGAGCTTCGTCGCGCTCCCGGCCAGTGGAGCTATGCAGGCGCGAAAGAGAGGCGTCAATCATTGCAGTGGCGGCAGTAGGGAACACCAAGCGCATACCCTCTTCTCGATCTTCTTTGGGCGAAGCTGGGAGCGAGTTAGACTTCGGCGATGACGACCCGCCCGCGCCTCGGAAATGTTCCCTCTAGAACAGCAGAAGCGTCACGCAGGTAAGCCGTCCACGGTGTCGAATTACCTTATTGTGGGCATGGTGTACCTTCATGCTGGCAAATCGCCTTTTGCCGGGCTGGATGAAAGTGGACCCGCTGTCGTTCAGGGATCTGAAAAGCAGCAATAGTGTGATGAGTTGCACGTCCATTACCATAATCGCCCACACAGCTCTGCGTACCCTTCGCTCTCCTCGAAGGAGCCGACACGGCTAGTCCGACCGGAGGTCGCTTCCGTGTTGATGCCTTCGTTCAGATCTGAGATGAAGCTACTATCGCTACTGTCGAGAGTTTCATCGCAGTCGCTGCCGTCCATCGAGCTCATATCCTCGGAGGCGTTCGAGTATCTCTTGCCCATGCTGTCTTTGAACTGTCTGACCCTCTCATAGCCGGCCTCCAACCTGTTCTGCTCCTGCAGCTTCTCCTCTTCAAGAAGCAAGCCCAGCCTAACAAGAGCCAACCGAGCTTGAGAATCAGGGTTCCAACCACCAAACCCTTGATGTGGGGGAGTATCGATACCGCTGCTCGGCTTGCTTGGCAAGCTGGAAGCGCTCCTGCGCAGAGAGGGATCGGAAAGAAGACTTGCCCAAGTCTGTGTCTTCGTCTGGCAGCTCCATCGGATTGTTCCCGCCCAGCGATCCTTTCCTGGAGAGCAGTGGGGTTTAGTGCCTGCCACACGGGAAGGAAAAAGGTTCCAAGCGGGATACCTTGCTTCGGCTCTTTTGGCGCCGCTCGCTGAAGTATAGGAACCCCTGACTCGGTAGCCGGTGTACTGCTCCGAAATTAGAGCCTTCGCCGCCGCTGCTCGCTGGGACGCGATCTTGGTGGCGTGCTCTGTGATATGACAAAGAGTTAAGAGGTACAGCTCACGGCTCGAAGAAGAGAGGCAGCAGGAAATAAGCGGGTGGCCGCACCATCATAAAGGTCGCTCTTTTCTTTGAGCAACTTGATGCATTCTTTCAGGTCCTTAATCCACTCGGTTTTCTCCTCCTCGGCGGAGGCACAGAGCCAGAGGCCTGGTGGTGAGCTCACGACCTGGCAGGGAAACAGGTCAGTGTACAATGGTGGAGAGAAGAGGGAGACAAAATAAGGTACCTGAAAACTGTGCTTCTTGTCGCCCTCGTCGGCGGTGTTGACCAGCTCGCAACCTTCCAAAGGGATCTGTTCTACATACTCGAAGGTGGGGGCGCCGGACCCCTTCTTGAAGGTCTTCTTCTTCATGGTGTTGGACATGTTGCACTTGACCAGAAGGTCGGTGAAGAGGAAGAACCACCGCGGTTTGCCCTTGCCCTTGGGGTTGATTTCGACCAGGGAGCCCTCCCTGATGAAGCGGCGTTGAGGGTCCACCAAATTCTGATGAACAAGCCAAGTTAGTCACCAAACGATATGAGACGAAAAGGTGTGCTGGTGGAGGTGCACGCACCACAAGCTTCTTGCCGTACAAGCTGCCTTGGATGTTCAGCATCTTCTGGATGTTCTCGGCCTCCTTTTGCTTGTCATTTACGTAAATGGCAGTCGTCGTGATCTGCTGCAGCGCTTGTTCTAGGTTGTCGTAGTCGCTGTGCTCCTTCCAGGTGTGCTTGAGCAGATCTCGGACAAGGAGCTGGAGTAGTTCATGCGTTAGCCTCGAACACGGAACAATGCCCAGCAGCCCAAGAGAGAGAGAGAGAGTGAAGAGAGAGTACGAACCTGGTATCGAGGGATGCGCTGTACAGGTGTGATGAGGTACGAGGAAAGGTCTGCCTGAACGACGCTCATCTTCGGGTAGGTGTCGTTACAGAAGGCCAGGAACTCTGGTGATTTCTTACACTCCTGGTGAAAGAAACAAAAACAACAGGAAAGTGAGCGCGCTGAGATCGCAACGGGAGTGATTGAACGCACCTGGATCATAGCGAGCGCGTCGTTGAAGTTGCGCACGTAGTCGGTGTACACCCTCATGAAGGCGGCCATTTTGAGGAACACGTCGCCGATCATTTGGTACGGATGCCAGGAACTCGTCTTCTTCCTCAGATCCTCGAGCAGGGCGTCGTTGTAGCCCAAGATTATTTGGATGTGCGAGAATATCGTTTTAATCTCATCGTTCGAGATTATGGGCTTGCCGCGAGCCACGGCTTCCTTGAGCGGCCTCACGAAGTGCTGATCACATTGAAATATGAAAATAAGTAAATCAATATAAAATATAATCTCGCCTGCTTTGTGACCGGAAACAGAACAGGTGGTGTACCTCTACGACTTCGCGCAGCGTCTTGACGTAGTTTTCTTCTGTAGAGAGGATCTCTTGGGCCACTTGTGTCCGATACAAGTTCATCTTCCCTGTTATTGTAGAAGGGACGGGTGAATAAGAGAGCCAATGGAAGATCGCTTCAAGCTGACCGCGATACGTACGCATCACTTGGAATTTTCGCTTTTCGTGCGATGCCTTCCATCTGGCTTGAATCTTTACGGCCGCTTTGTTCTCTTCTCGCAGCCTCCACAATCGCGCCTTCTCCTCTCTTTGCAAGCGTTCCTTGTGTAGACGTTCATCTTCGAGTCGTCTGCTCTCCAGCTCGAGCTCCTTTTCGCTCTTCAGCGCTTGTCTCTGCTTTGCTTCCTCCTCCTCCTTCCGTCGTTGCTCCTCTTGCTGCTGTTGCTCCTTCGCCTTGCATTCTTCCTCCTCGCGTTCCTTCCGTTCGCGTTCTCTTGCCTCGACCTCCCTTTTCGTATCCCGCTCTAGCTTCTCTGCTTGCTTGCGCAATCGTTCCTGATCTTGCTGCTGCCTGTGTCCCTCCAGTTCTCGCTCCATCCTCTCCAATTCCTTCTTCACCTCTTCATCCATTCGCGCCTTTTCCTCCTCCTCTTCCTTTCGCAATCGCTCCCTCGCATGCTTCTCCCGTTCTTTCTCATCCTCTGTGTTGTTGTGGCTTGGCTCATCGGGGGCGGCCAAGGGCCTCACGATACCGCTCCCAGTCACGGGCCTCGCGATAACGCTCCCCATCCCCATCCTCATATCCGCGACCGTCTGTCTCGGTTGAGTACTGCGCGGCCTCGCCGCCGCTAATTGCGCCGCCATGCGCTGATTGCGTTCTTCCCAGAGGGCTATCTTCTCCGCGAGCGCATTACGCGTTCGAGGCAGCGACATTTTAGCGATTTAGGATGACCTTCTCCTACGCCAATCCGAACCGAAAATCCTCGGTCGGGCCCCTTCTCTCAAACCCTTCTTCTCTCGACTTCGCTTCCGTGTGTTCGCTTCACGGCCTTGCTTTTCTTTTCGCCTTTCTTGCTTTCCTTTTTAAAACCGAAAGAAGACCAGCAACCAAAGCGAGACATGTCAGGTTGGGCCAGCTACATCGAGGCATTGACGGCGACCGGGCAGGTCACGCAAGCCATCATCTTTGGGCATGATGGTACTGTGTGGGCGGCTTCTCCTGGCCTGAGCAACGTACGACATCTTCCTCACCCCCTCCCTTTCGCCGGCATGAAGCTAACGGGCTCTTTCAGGTCGCAAGCAGTGAACTGGTGGCCGTGAGCAAGACGTTCGATAACCCCTACGAAGCTCAATCAAATGGTCTCAAACTAATGGGCTTGTCATACATCCTGCTGCGCTCCACCAGCGAGAGCATCTACGCCAAGAGGGTACGCGCCATCGTAATATGGACGAGCTTCCTTTGTGCTCACCGCCTCTGTACGACCTTCCTGCAGGGATCGTCAGGCTTCTCTGCTGCCAAGACGAAGCAGGGTATGCTTACTCCAAATTTGGAGTTCAGTTCTTTGTGGCCAATGGCTCACTGTCCACCACCCACAGGTGTGGTAGTCGGCTTCTACGATGCGCCAACCTATCCAGGGCGCAGCACCGTGGAGGTGGAAAAGATCGCCAGTTTCATGCGTGATAACAATGTATGATCATCGACTGTACAGCCCTCGTTCGTGCTCTTCGCGGGCATCAAGCAGAAGAACCGAGTCAGCCACATAAAAATTTGGGGCGGCCAGACGACGCTTCGTTCTTTTCGCGTGGCTTTCCTCGCCTTTCCGTCTGGGATATACATGGAATCGCAGAGCGGCATGCCGCACCACCCAGGTTGACATGATCCCCCCCTTCCAGCTTCATGCCCCTTCACCTTCTTCGGTTTATCCACGCTCCGTCACGGCGTACAACAAACTCCTTATTCAACCCTCTCTCAACGTTTTCATCAGCACTTGAGGTACCTCTCCTCCCCCTCCCCCTCGTTTCTTTGTAGCTAAGCAGCTTTCCTCTTCATGGTGCGCAGAAGAAAGAGACAACAGATTTTCCACGCATGTCTGCTCCCGCGCTTCCCTTAAGCGAGCACGCGGCCCGAGCCACGGCCTCGTTCGCCCGCCTGTTGGCCGAAGCGGAAGGCACTAACAAAGCCCAAGAGCGGCATATCGACACCTCCATCTCCCACGACCCGGGCACCAACCTTCACCACACTACCAGCGACGAGTGTGCTGATGGCGATGGCGACGGAAAGCGCAGGGTCTACTCACCATCGTTTCTCCTCCAATTCAAAGAGGTACTCGCTTATGCTACTTTTGCCTGTTGCTATCTGCCGCCTTTGCCTCAGACCCTTTCTATCTTCTGAATGACGGTGTACAGCGCTACACCGAGCCGCCGCCGGGCCTGCCCAAGTCGGGCCTGGGGTGCCTGATCTCGTCAGAGACGCCCATGACGACAACCAGGGACCGTCCAGGCCGGGACGAGCGACCCTCGATCCGAAGAGGCGAGTCCGCGCGCGACATCGCCACGCTCAGACTGCACCGCGGCAGGCGCGCTGCGGGGACTGCCACGAGCGGGCGCGCAGGCTCACCCTACCCACCGGGCTACAGCCCTCCGCCCGCGGGTCGTCCCAAGACGCCAGGCTCGCCCACCGTGCCGCGCTGGAAGCAATTCCAGGCCGCACCAACTCCCCCGCGCTTCGCACAGAAGGCCGCGACCTCGTCGGCGCCCTCAACCCCTCGCATGTGGAAGCGAGCCGAGGGTCCGGTTGAAGAGGAGGAAGGCGAGTTCAACCCCGAGGAGATGGAGGAGTCCGGCGGCTGGAGGAGAGAGCGAGTCGAAGCTGCGCCGGCGGTTCTGTCAGATGGCGCCAAGGCGTGGACCCCGCGGAGGCGTCAGGGCGGACTCAGCAAGGACCAGGAGCTCCTCTCCCAGGTCAAGGGGTACGAGCGCACTGCCTGTGTGGCTGTTTAGCGGGGTATGTGGTGCTTATAGAACATGGCTCCGCGCAGGATCCTGAACAAGCTGTCGGTGGACAACTTCCACCAGTTGTGCGGGCAGCTGTTCGCGCTGGAGATACCTTCGTTGGACGTCCTGAAGGGCATCGTTGATATCATCTTCGACAAGGCCACCCTCGAGCCCACGTTCAGCTCCCTCTACGCACAGATGTGCTCGGACTGGGTCAACAAGGCCCCCAAGTTCAAGGAGCCTGGGTCAGAGCGAGATATGGTACGCTTGCATTCAATGTGCCAAGGACTATCATGGCTCCTACTAAACTTAGGTTTTATAGACATTCAGGCGTGCTCTTTTAAATAGGTGCCAGGCAATGTTCGAGAAGAAGGAGGAGGGCGAGACACATCCCACAAAGAGGGTGATGATCGGCAACGTGATCTTCATCGGTGAGCTCTACCGCAAGAAAGTGATCACGCACAAGATCGCTCACATCTGTCTCTCTACCCTGCTCGGATCCGTCACCCGTAAGCACTCCACTCCACTCTACTACATGACACCACACGACACGCGCTAACCGTCATTGTTGTTCGTCATTGTTCTTGCAGATGCGATTGCGGACAATAAGGCTGAGACGATTGACGAAGATGTGGAGTGTCTGTGCAAGCTGTTCATCATCGTCGGCCGCGACCTCGACGTGCTGTCGTCGGATAGCCACAAGCGCATGGATGAGTACTTCCGCGCCCTGCGTGGCATCATGACCAACAAGGCCCTGCCCGCCCGCATCCGCTTCCTCGTTCAGGACGTCATAGAGTTGCGGCAAGCCGGCTGGACCCCCAAGACGCTCAAGGCTGGCAAGTGAGGTCCCTTCGCACCATCTTCCACTCCTTCTCTTCCACTCCAGTCTCTTGCCGACCGATGTCGCGCAACACCGCGAGCTTGTACATAAGGCCTTGAACAGCTTTCTCGTCTAAATAACAAAAGAAAAAAAAGAAAAACGCAGAAGTTCCCCTCACGTAGATGCAAGCGAACAGCAGCAAAGTGAGTGTGCGCCGCGCCACGGAAGATGACGCCACATTTCTGGCGTGGATTCTGCTAGAAGCTTCACGATCGTCCTTGCCCCGGGGATTTTATGATGTGCTCTTTGATGATTGCGGTGAGGGGGAGCTGCTCGCCATCCTCAAGGACCTCGTCCTCACTCCCGAGCCCTCGTTCACCCGCTGGGACTGCTTCCTCATCGCTGAAATCGATGGCATTCACGCAGGAGGTACCACCCACGCGCTACTTCCGCAAGTAGCAGCTCACCTTTGTGATTCCAGCCGCGTGCGGCTACAGCGCTGAAGAGAAGACTGGAGAGGGGCTCTGGCGAGCAGTCACGACCGCACTTAAGGAGAGGAAGTGGAGTGTAGAGCAGATGGCCAAGACGGAGCGCGTGTGGAACGAACTGCTCGTGCTCTGGCCCGCGCTCAACGGTACTACAGCTCCTCCCATAGCCCTTTCGTCTCTGGCTCTAAGCGTCACATGGACGTTGCAGGTGAGCACGAGCACTGGATCGTTGAATACGTTGCCGTGACCCCGACCTTTCGGAAGCGAGGCGTGTGCCACCAGTTGATGCTGGCAGTGCTGGATCAAGGGCGGGCAAGAGGCTTCAAGCGAGCTCAGATCACACCGTATGCCGACAACGAGGCCTCGGTAAAGGCCTACGAGAAGGTGGGCTTTAAAGGTACCACCAAGCTCCAGGCTTAGCAGTAGCAGCCTTGCTCTAACCCTGCGAGACGTGCAGAGTATTGCACCATCACCTCCCCCATATTCGAACAGCACATACCCGACACGCTCGGCGCCCTGCACATGCGCATGGAACTATGACCCGCTTCATGAGCGGAAGCAACGAAAGAGAGCTATACCACTACCACAACGCGCGCGTTCTTCATTCCTTCGCCTCCGTTCGTGCGCATTCCACTCCCATTCCTGGCTGTGCAGGCAAAAATGTAGCGGCCGCCGAAGGCGCCGGCTTGCTCTGTTCTTTTTCAACGCTCGACACGAAAGGAGGAGGCACGGCTGCAGCTAGGAGCACAGTACGTAGTACAAGCACTTCTTCTACTTGAACGAGGACCAGAGAGAGAGAGAGAGAGAGTGCAGTGCTAAAGACCTCGACAAGACGAATGGAAGAGAGCGTGTGGCTACACTGCAATTCGTGCTACAACGTAGCGAGTAGCGACTCGTGGCCGGCGTGGCTGGACGTGGTCTTCACCAACTGCGGGCACGTATTCTGTCACACCTGCTTCACTGCGCCTTCTTCCTACTCGAGCGACTCGCTATGCCCCTCGTGCGGCAAATCTTGCCAGTCTACTACGTTCCGAGTACGTACATCCGCACGTCTTATTAGGCTTGCAGAGCTCTGCTCATCATCTACCGCGACGTGCTCGATGCAGAAGGACAGCCCACCTCCGCGAATACAACCCTGTACGCTTCCACTGGAAGTCGCTTTGCGTAGCACTGTGCTCACACCCCCATTTCGGCTCAAGGGTTCGAGGACTCAGTCGTCGCGCTGGAAAGGTTGGTTCTCAGAGCTCTCTTCTCGCGAGAACGGCGCAATGACCTTCTTTTTGCAACGCAGGGCGATCAAGGTGATGCGATTCCAGCGCGGCCAGGAGGCGGCCCTTGTGCGAGGTCTCGTTCGCCAGATACACCGCCAAAAACAGGAGTCAGCGGTTCTCTGGCAACACTCCCCTACGCAGGGTTCCACTGATAGGTACCGAGTCGTCTGCTCCGCGTAGTTGCTGTGCTCTGTCGACTCATCGTGCTACATTGGATATTCAGCTTCAGGACGAACGCTGTCGACGCGTGGGACTTGGCGATGCCTGGCCAAGTGAGGCAGTACCCATCGCCTCCAGGTTATCAGTCCGACGAGTATGGCATACGGCCGCCCTTTGGCTTGAGTCCGCCGCCTGGGCTCGCCCTGAAGTACGCTACCTTGCGCGTTTCTCGGAATGCTCGCTTCCTCATTTTGTTCATGCAGTGGTCATGCGAAAGAAGCGCATGGTCAGGCCACCACAAAGCCTGATGCTACTCCCATGGGCTATCCATCGCTGGCTGGACACTCGTTCCGCCACTCTCCGCAGCTCATCGGAAACCAGGACGGGTTGCTTGTAGGCCCCAAGCCAGGTAACCCACATACATGCTAGTGCTGCATCTCCGAGTGCGCTGCTAACCTTCATCCGTCGCAAGAAGCTCCTCACGCTTCGCTCATCCTGAAGCCCGAGCCTACACCGCCTCCCCTTACCATAACGAAAGAAGGTATCGCGCAGTTTCGCTATAGCGAACGTCCGGGCCAGCGTACGGCCGAATCCATCGACCAGCCGATGTCGCTCTCCGCACGCCAGCATGCCCTGCCTTCTGGATTGGCGATGCTAGGTGGAGGTGGAGCTCGCCTGCCCACACCGCCTACAGCTTCTACGCCAGACTCGATCCTCGGCCGCGAACCGCCGCCGTTCCTGCAGAGGCAGACGCTGAACTCGTCCAGAAGGTTGCAAGACCGCCTTGCGAGTTTCCGTCAACAGCAAAGCAGCAACGGAGGCCTGACCCCTGTCCCCGCGAAGCAGAGCCAGCTCTTGATGGGTACCTCTTCACACACACGCAGGTCTCGAGCTGCACAGCGAAACTCATCAAGCTTCCGGCTTCTGGTTTGTGATCAACCAGAGCGCGCAGCACCAGGGAAGAAGAGAAAGGCGCCGCAACGTAGAGGCCTCAGCCTGCCCGACGGTCCAGTGCCGAAGATGACGAAGCTCTCCAACTCGCAGCGCGGGAGCCCCGAACTGCACGAGTCCGGCGGCGTCGGGCAGACAACGTCGGCTCCGCACAGCGACGACGATCACTACGACACCTTCGAGATCCACCCTGGTAAGAGCCTGCAGCCGAGCGTCGGCGCCAACACCAACGCCACTCGCGCCGACGTGCAGAAGGAAGAGTAAGAGTAGACGACGAGCCATTGTTTGTATATCGCGGAAGACACGCGCTTTCTTCTTCATGAAGTAGAGACGTACACTGCTCGCCTCCATAACTGAGAGTGTCGCACTCGTTCAAGGAGGAGAGGAGAAGGAGGCACAACACGGAGGGTGCGGGCGCGAGAAGTCATCACAGCGGAGAGGCGGCGTTGAGCTCGGGCGAGTGTTGTCTGTGGTCCTTCTTGTTCTCCTCGATGAGCTTGCGCAGCCGGATGTTGTCCTCGCGGAACCGGAGGTTCTCCTCGCGCAGCATCTTGTTCTCCTCGCGGATCACCTTGTTGTCGCTTCGCAGGTGCCTGTTGATCTTGTCGAGCTCGTCGACGTCCACGTAGTCGTCCTTGTCATCGTCATCGTCGTCTTCACCGTCCTCCCTCTTTCTCTTGCCGCCAGCGGCCAATTCGCTGTCCTTGTCCGTGAGGACGACGTGAAGGTAGGGACACTGTTTCCCTCGTGTGCAGCTATCATTCAACAAGACGCCATGACGAGGGTAAGAAGATGAAGACATCAACGGAGAGATGAGACCAGGGCGAAGAGGGGAGGGCCGTACTTCTTGCGGAAGAGGTGGTCCCTACACACTTCAGGTCCAGCGCGCGCCGGCTGAGGGGATGAGATGGAGGTGTGATTTGATGTTAGAAGCAGTTACAGCTGCTGAGGTGGATGATTTTGGAGCGTTCAGGCTGCGGAGGGCTTTGAGAATTTGGCCGAGATGGATGCATCGCGAAATGAGATGAGAGGGAGGAGTGCGCTATGGTGCAGCAGTGAGCGGAGGAGCGATGAGCGGAAGCAATGGCTGTGGCTGGCGTTGCCGGAGCGGAGAGAAGAAGAAGCAAGGAGATGGAGAAGATGAGGAGGGAGCTAGAGGTAACCTTGTTGGATTGGGATGGTAGGGGCTGGGGAGGAGGCACGATGGGTGGTGGGAAGAGAAATGGCGGCGGCGCTGGCATGAGGCCGATGTGCATGTAGGGGCATCGAGAGCCACGCGTGCAGAGCCCTCGCATGAAGTCGCGGCACACGTCTCGTGGGGCGTCGTCCACCATCCGATGCGAGTAGGGGCAGAGATCACCGCGCGCGCAGTAGCCGCGAGAGAAATCGCGGCAGAGCTCGCGCTTCTCCAGAGGTTCTTCCATGGCATGAATGTAGATGCAGCGCGATCCACGCGAGCAGCGGCCCGTCATTCTGTAATCTCGGCACACCTCGTTCAATCTCTTGCCGCTATCGGCCATGTGGTGCATCATGGGCGGCATGCCGCCGCGATGCGAGGGAGGCGGGGGCGGGGCGCTGCGATGATGATGGTGATAAGCGTCACCTCCCCGCGAGACTGGCGATGGTGAACGTCTCCGATAATCGCGTTCATCGCGATCGTCACGGCGGTAATCTCGCTCATCGTATTCGCGATCACGGTACGACATCCTGCCCAGGATCTTCCAGCTGATGAATGGTGCAGTGTAGCCAAAAGAAAAAGAAAAAAGAAAATGAGAGAATTATTGATTTTCCATTTACAAAATCGGTTGAGCGGCAGGAACGAAGGAGATGGAGAGGCGCACTGATGAGCCGGCGTGAGTCCTGCGGAATGGCGCTGCCCGCAGCGCCGATTCGGCAGGTTTTCGGACTCACAGCGAGGGGCTCTTCTCTTTGGCACGCAACCCAACGCAAACGCGCTCGTGCCACAGACCCGCGAGGAGCAGGCCAGCTGCAGAAGAAGGAGGAGAGACGCACCGGTACCGATTGGACGTACGCCGCCATATCACAAATTCAATACTACACAACCAACCACTGACCCTTTGAAGACCTCCACTCCTCTGCAGCTCAGCCCTTTCTCGCCCGATGGACAGCAGCACGCCGGCCGCCGCCAGCTCCACACACACTCACACGCTCGAGCTTGACGCTAAAGCCCAACGCCGGAAGGAGCGGGCTCTCAGGGCCATTGTACCCCCCCCCTAGCTGGGCATGTAGGGCGCCTTTGTTGATGCTTGTTAACGTGGGGGGGGGCAGTTGGAGCAGAAGCCGCCATCGGTCAAGTGGATGGGCCGGTGGTGCAGTCCGCTGACGAAGGCCTTCGACCCGGTGTTCTACGGCCTTGAGAACGTGCCCTCCAACCCCGGTGCCAAGCTCATGTTCGTGGGCAACCACACCATGATGGTACCCGCACACATCACCATCAACCCATCAACTTCGTGTGCGTTGCTCGCCTTATGCCTATTTTTTGTCGTGGAGTGCACAGGCGCTGGACTTGCCGGTGCTGCTGTTCGGGCTGCTGCAGGAGCGAGGACTGTTCGTGCGCACCATGGGGGACCACTTTCACTTCCACATTCCCGGCTGGAAGCGCATCCTCATGAAGATGGGCGTCGTCGACGGCACCCGGGAGATCTGCAGAGCCCTCCTCGAAGACAAGTAAGTCGAGTTCCTATATGCACTCTCCGGAGGCTCCTCCCACTCCACTTGTTGGTGTTGTGGTTGCTTTCTCTCGGAGATCTCACATCATTCCTGCAGCCATCCGGTGTTGATCTACCCGGGAGGCGCCAGGGAGGCCTTTAAGAAGAAGAGCGACCCCAAGTATGCGCTGTTCTGGGCCGGTACTGCCTTCGCCCCGACTTCCTTAGCCCGTTTCGCAACGCTGATATTCTCCCTCGGCCACCAGACCACAAGGGCTTTGCCCGAATGGCGATACAGACGGAAGCCATCATCGTGCCGGTGACAGTGCTCGGCATGGAGGACATGATCGGCGTGCTCTGCGACATCCCGGCGGTGCCTCATCCCCACCGGCATTCTCACAAGGAGATGGCCATCATCACGTGATTGTTAGTGAGCTGACCTCCTGTGGTGGCATGCAGTCCAAAAAGCGCGATCTCACGGTGCCGGCGATGAAGCCTCCAGGCCCACGCAAGTACCAGCGTCTGTACTACCACTTTGGCCCGCCCATTCCCACGGCGGCCTTCCAACGCAACGACTGCGAAGCCAACTCCACGCGCCTGCGCGACCAGACCCAGGAGGTCATCCTCTCCGGCCTGCGCTTCCTCCAGGCCGTCCAGCGGGTCGACCCCAACCGCTTCGGCTACGTTCGGTTCGTACCCCCCTTCCCCACTTCCCATCATGATGATGCTGGCCTTCAACTGGGAGAGTACTCAATGTGTTGTGTTGGTCGGCCAGGATGCTGCGAGAGCTGCTGCCGTGGCTGCGGGAGACGAAGGCGCTCACGAGCAGCAAGGACGGGGAGGTGGTGGTGGGCGAACGACCGACAGCGGAGGCCGACGATGGCCGAGGCGACACCACCAGCAAGCCCACGGGTCCTTTGGAAGACGAGGAGATCGCGCAGGAACCCCCTGTCCACAGTTGCTGTGGCCACCGGCAGCCACTGTTGATATCATTACCACGGCCGGAGAGTGTCTCGTTTGTACAAAGAAGAACCAGCCAGTTGTTCAGAGTTACGAGTTGGAAAGTTTGTATTGATTGGTCGTATTATCTCAACTTTCGCGAAGTTTCGCCTAATGTGCGTGTCTCCTCCAATCAACACGATTGAGGAAGGTCGACACCCAAGCAACCAAACTCGAGCTGGAGTTTGGCAGGGGTGGTGGTAGCTGAGGATCGCGGCTCTACGCCGACTCGAGCGCTTCGGGCACGGGCGTGGAGTGGTCGTCCTTGCTAGGGATCTCTTCACGTACGGGACGGGCTACGTAGCTTGAAGTGGAAGACGCCCGTGAGGAACTCGTTCTGCGAGAGCCGAGAGAGCGGCGTGCAGGGCAGGAACGAGGGACTCGAGGAAGAAGGGACGTGGAGGTTGTGGGAGGAGGCCTCGACGTCCATGACGTCGCAGGCCAGGGAAGATGTTGATGCGCGGCGAGAGACCTTGGGGCTGTACTTCATGATGAAGGTTTCCCGAAAGAAGCCCGATTCGGTGCTGGCGTTCATCTTGGTGTGTGGTTTGGGCTTGAGCAGAAGGTAAGGCGGATTGGGAGGAGTTGGTGCAGGGCAATGGTAAGGCGGGGCTGAATGCTTGCGCGGCGGGATGTGGTTATGAGAGTGCACCTGGCCGGCACAATGATAAGGCCTGGCCACGGAGTCCGCGAAGTTTCGGACTGGCCTCCGCGAAAATGCGCTGCATATCACGCCTGGCCTCGCTGGCTTTCGCTAATCCCGGTAAAAACCCACCATCACAAACTTCCGTTGCCCTTTGGTTCCTGCGAGACCGTACCTGGGACTAACTATGGTGGCCAGCTGTGTGAACTGCGGTAGAGAAAGTGGTGGTTGGCAGCCAATTGTTGCGCAGTTCTCCACCAAGTAGCCCAATGAAGAAGAAGATGACACAAATGGGGGAAGACAGCAATTGAAGATGAAGATTGTGAAGAAGAAGAGGAGGAAAGAGGAAAGGAGGAAGTGGGATTCCCTGTTCTCAGAGGTGGAGATGTTAATCGGCGCTCAGTAAAACTCTCTGGTGTCGCCCTCGCCCACTTCCTCGTGCCTGAAGAGGCCATCGCCCTCAGCCACGACCCAGTGGGGCAGCAGCCACTCGGTCGAGTAGTAGGTGCCCGCTTCAAAAATCCTGTTCCAGTCCTTCTGCGAGATCTCGTACTGCACACCATAAACGACGATTACCATCAGAGCAGGTCAATGATTGCCTCCAACAACAATAACAACATGTCTTGTGTGTTGTGCGTTGCAGGTCACGTACGAAAGTGTCGGTCCACCACTGTCGGTTGTACATGATGGGGTTGTTGGTCCATCCACACTGGCCAGCATCGAAGCACCAATAACTGTAGTCGCACCCACACTTCCACATCCTGGGGCGCCACACGATCCGCCTGGTCAGCAACTTTCCAACAACACACAGCGCCGCTTCACATGAAGAAAGAGTACCTGTGAGGATAGTTGGAGAGGAGGAAGTCGTCCTTCTTGTAGTGATAGCCGTTACAGAACAGATGAGGCTCCCATCCCGGCTGGGTCAGCCACTGCGATGACGAAACGTAAAATGGGAGTTAGAGACGAGAATCGATGGTGACATTGCAAGAAGAATCACGCGCACCATGTTGACGCCAGCGTCATCGTCCCACTGCGGAGGATCGGTCTTGGACGGGTGAATGTTGGGGTGACCGTGGTTCAACCTCGAACGGAACTTGACCACGTCGGCACGCGACCCATTGTGCTTATCGAATAGCATACGCTTGGCCAAGTCAAGCTGTTGAAAGCAGAAAATGAGCGAGCGGGCGAGCGACAGCTTGGCGGTGGTGGGTCGGTTACCTGCTCAATCACCGTCTGGCGCGGCTCAACGAGCTGCCAGTCCTTCTCCAGGAAGAGAACGAAGCGGCTCTTCACAGCCCTCATCAAGTTGGCTGTGAACCATCAAGTGCTGGGTAAGTCAAAGGGGAAGCGCCAGAGCTGAAAGCTGAGACGCGAGAGTAGCAAAGAGAAGTAAGTACCCAGCGCCTTGCCCAGGCCAAGGTTGGTCTCCTCGTTCATCACGGTGAAACCAAAGGACTTGCCCACCGACTCGATCTTCTCTCGAATCTCTGGGTCTCCACCTGCGCGATTCAACGAACGACACCGGTTAAGAGCTAAGCCCAAACGCGGATGTTGATAGGAAGCGGAGTGGTTCAACTTCAACTTCAACTTATAAAAGACACCGCCTTGCAGGTGCGAGAAAGAGAGCGAGGGAAAGCGCACCGTCGATGTAGAGGTAGGCCTCCTGCACGTACTCGAGAAGACCATTGGCCTTCCACGACTTCATGGAGCTCTCCAAACTCAAGTGCTCACTGCATGCGAAAACCGAATCGCCATGAGAAGGTACGCAGCGAGCAAGGGTGCATGCTTGCTGTTGAATTAAAACACTTCACATACTTGTAGACCGAGACGATGAGGGCCAGGGAGTCGTCCTCCTTCTGCGGCACCGGCTCAGGAGGCACGCAGCAGCCAACACACTTCTCCTGTGGGTCCGGATGTAAGCATCATCGAAGGCACGAATTGTGAGGAACAGCGCGAGCGCAAGTGGAGAGGAGGAGGTGTACCTGGACCCAACCGGGAGGGATAAGGCTCTTGAAGCGCGCGAGGGGGCCAAGCGAGTTCGCAGGACGGGCGCAGACAGCAGAGTAGTCGGGATGCGAAGACATCCACGTGGGGATCTTCGGCTCCATCTTCATCTTAACAGCTGCACGTGGGGAACAGGATGAGGAGGCGATACGGTGGGCTGATTATCGAGATGAAGAAAGAGGAGGACGTACTGGCATACGTGGCGGCGACAACGTTACTGACACAGTAGCCAAAGAGGGTCTCCTTGTCAGTTGTGCCTGGAGCCGCGCACACCTCACCCTCAATGACTGTGCATTGGTCGCTGTGTTGTGAGCATTCCTTGAAGCTCTTCAGAGATTCGCAGTTGATCTGTTGCGACGAGCCCTCGCCTGTAGATTCACGCCAATTGAGATCCATGTCGTGTTGATCTTTGATCAGAACTTGGGACGTACCACGTCCGTGTTGCTGCATGGGAGGAACGTGGCGGTCCCCTACCGGCTCTAACCCACTGCCAAATTCATCAGCCCAAGTCTTCGCGAAAATCCATGAAAAAAACAAAAATGAGATAGAGGTGGGGCGACTGGTACCTGACATCAGACTTGTAAAAGAACATCAGCATGAACAAAAAGAAGAATGTGATGAAGATCAGGAAGAGGATCCTCCACATCGTCCTCTGCCCGAGAACGATTTCTACCGATCCCATCTTGAAGGATATATCAGGAACAGAATGCGTCTAGATCGATCCTCACTTGGTAAGATTCCTTTACGTGATGCGACAGACTCCTTGGTGATCCAATCGTTCGGTGGGTCTGCTGTCGTGGCACCACACTCTACCCAAACAGAACGAAAAGTCCTGTCAACACACGAGGAAACCACGCTGACGTCAGCCGGCGCAACACAACAACAAAAAGGAACAGAGATGGAAGGACTTGAGGTGGAGGGGCCTGTGTTTGTGACACAGGAGCTGGTTCCTGAACACGCTCGCGCCCTCTTGCGCGAGGAGTTGCATCACTGTGACCCCAAGCTACCGGGTACGTCGACCATTTGTGTCGCAAATTGATTTACGCCTTTCGTTCTTTTTACATCTGCGGCCTCAATGCAGCGCTGCTGGAGCAACTGGGTAAGCACGGCGCAAGCGAGTGCTGGCACAAGCACGGCACGTTCAAGCAGCACTTGTTTGGCGTGTGGCGCATCCTCTACCTGTGGAAGCAGAGCCAAGCCGTACGACACCAAGTGCAGGCCTTGGCTGGCTTTTTGTACTCACTTCTTCTTCGACGCAGGTTTGCCGTTGTGGGCTCTACCACAGTGCCTATTCGAACAGCTACGTCAACCTTGCGATCTTCAAACCCGATACGGGAAGAGAGACCGTGCGTTCGGCCGTGGGCAATGAGGCCGAAGAACTGGTACGCTCTCGCCCACACTTCCCGCTGGCCACCTTCGCCTCTCACATCACCAACGCGAGTGCATGCAGATCCACTTCTTCTGTACGATCCCTCGCCAGGAGCTGATCTTCGACCACATCCTGCCCCTCCACCCGGACAAGCCCATACCCAAGGTCTCCGCTCCTCACCTCATCTCCAGCTTTGTTCTACAGTTCTTCACGCCGTGTCTAATAGCTGCGTCCCATCGTGCAGGAGGGCGTAGAGGTGAGGCACATACGCAACAAGGACGAGAAGATACGAGTCTCGCCGAAGCTCATGAAGATCTCTCTACTTCTCACCATTGCCGACTTTTGTGTGCGCCACCTGTCATGCGCTCTCGATCTTGCAACGCCAGAGACGCGTTTACTCAATACAGGGCCGCTTACACGTGCTCCCTCTCTCACGACAGGATCAATGGTACGGATGGCAGGACCTTCTCTTTGCCAACGAAGGCGGCCTCACCATGTCTGGCGATAACCCCGCCACCTTGTGGCCCTCCACCGGCAAGCCAGGTACCGCTATGATGCCTCCCATTTGCCCATGCGGCACATCTACCGTGCTCCTATCTAATGCTCGGCGGCACCGTTGGGTTGAACACCAGGGCTGTGGATGAGCCGCCTGTCGCAAATGGCGGTCCTCAGCCGAAGGATCCACGAGCAGGAGCCCGATGACGAACCGCTACCGCCCATCTTCAACAACTGCTCCACAGTGTTGGAGCCCGACAGCGAACGCGAAGCGCGGTATCGATTGAATCTGTTGAACTGTGCCTTGGCTCAAGCAGTGGTCGGTCACTATTTGACCGTGTAGTTGACCAATTCCTATTGATGTTGCTTTGGCACCCAACTCCTGCAGGGACTTGTATTGGCGCGTGGTCATGCACAAGACGGAGCAGGAGCAACACGAGGAGGCAGCGGAAGACTTGCGCAAGGCCATCGCACTCAACCCCTTTGTTGCCGAGCCTCGTGTCCTCCTAGCCCAGATCTACAATGTCTCGGGCCGCTACGAAGAGGCCGAGAGCCAGGCACAGGTTCGCAGACCGTCTCATCATAATCATCATCATCCCATAACTCCTATTGCTCTCGCGTGCGCTCACTCGTGCTCTTTGCTGGCAAGACGACGACAACAGGAAGCACTGCGCCTGCTGTTTGAGTGGGGAACGGCGTGGGACAAGGTGCCGCCTTGGTTAAGCCTGTTGCCTGCGTGGTTCGGTTCACTGACGATAGCCTAACACGCCCGTGTGCGCGTTGTGCATTGTGCATGGCGTAGCGTGTGGGGTGGGAAGGATGGATCGCGTGGGCCAGGATTAACGTGCTCAAGGCCAGGCGGAAGGAGTGGCCCTCCACCTCCTTTGGCATCATCAACCTGGGTCTCGTATGATGAAGAGAGAGCGCCCTCCTCCCCCCCAATCTCGAGCTCAGCTGGTGCGTGATCCCCCATAAATCCAGTTACTTATTTCGGGACATGACTAAATTCCAAATAAGGAGCGCCACAACAGTTCACTTCACAACTGTGCCATGGCCGTTGCGGATAGCGCACAAACACAACACACACACCACACACACCTTTCCTTTCGAACTAGAACTCGAGACCAACATCAGAAGCTATCCTCCTAAAAGGGCACCTCCCAAAGACGCCCTCTCCTCGATTCGATTCGCCATCTCTTCTTCTTCCTCCACATCGATTCGATAATCAACACACATCCATCTCTTGAAGGGCTGGGCATTATGGAGCACCCTACATCAAGTATTGTGGATGACCCTCCTCCACGCTCTCCTCCCTCGTCCACGCCCTCAGTCGTCGTCGCGCCTCCCGAGGAGGAGGCAGTCATTAAAACCAGGCCGCGCGCCTCTGTGTGCTCCGTGGCGTGCTGGCTGTTTGAGCCGCACGAGTGGAAACCAGCCATCTGTCGCAACTGCTTCAGCTCCCTAGCCGCCCACAAACTCGACGTCAAGTCCGCCGCGCGCGACCACCCGTCCGCCCTGCTCAAGCCCGGCTCGCGGCTCTCCCGGCGGATTCGCGTGCCCCACTACGAGACCTTCGAGTTCAAGCTGCGCGAAAACCAGCAGCAGGAGCCGCAGCTGCTCCCTCCCCTCTTCAAGTCGCCGCGCTCTCCCCGCAGCGTGCCCGTCGTGGCGGATGTCAAGCTCGAGAGCGAGGGCGTGCCCGCCGCCGCTGCAGCTTCTTCGCCCAGCCTCCCCGTGCCTGTGCCCGAGACCAGCAGCCGCACCACCATCACCGACGAGGCAGGTGAAGCGAAAGGTGACGGCCAGAGCGAGATGCGATCTGGGAAAGAAGAACCGCAACAGGGCGAGGGTAAGGTGGAAGCCGATAGCGAAGCCGGGAAGCAAGAGCAAGCTGAAGGCGATGGTGGGATGGAGGGCGAGAGCGCAGAGAAGAAGAACGAGGTGGATGGCGTCGAGGCTCTACGACCAGAAGAGAAGGCCGTCGGTCCCGATGTGGGCGAGGAGAAGGGAGAGGTCGCCCCAGTGGCCGCTGAGCGAAGTGCTGCGGCACAGGCAGAAGGCGACGATGCGCCTCGGAGGCTGCGGGAGGCCCTGGCGGTGATCGACAAGCTGCGCGCCAAGATCGCGCGCAAGAATGCGCGGCTGGAGGAGGCCGAAGAAGAGGCTGAGGAGGTGGGTAGCACGCTCAAGAGCAGGATGTACGACCTACTCAAGGAGGCAGCCCAGACCGAGAAGACACAGAAGCAGCTGATGGACGAGCAGGCCCAGGCCCGGCAGCGCGAGAAGGAGGCACTTGAAAAGCTGATCGAGGAGCAGGCCCAGGCCCTGCAGCGCGAAAAGGAAGCGCAGGAGCAGCTGCGGGAGGAGCAGGCCCAGGCCTGGCAAAGCGAGAAGCAAGCACTGGACAAGCTGATCGAGGAGCAGGCCCAGGCCTGGCAGCGCGAGAAGGAAGCACTGGAGGAGCTGATGGAGGAGCGAGCCCAGGCGTCGGCGCGCGAGGTAGAGACGCAGAAGCGGCTGATGGAGGAGCAGGCCCAGGCCTGGCGGCACGAAAAGGCGTTCTGGATGCAGGAGACCTCCACCGTCAAGCGAGCCTTCACCCTGTTCAGGCGCCAGTCCATGGTCGCACCGGTACGCACCAGACAGACCCAGTCCGCCTTCGTTCTTCTCTCTTTTCTCTTCTCTCTTTCTTCTTTCTTAAGCTCATCATCCCCGCGCGCAGTTCAAGTCACTACATCTGGCGCCGCCCGCGCTGCCCCAAGAGGAAGCCAAGCCGGTGGTACGTTTCCAAGAAGGCAAAGTCGTTCATTACCTTCTCCTGCGCTCTTGGCTCAAGATACCGTGTGGTGCGCAGACCTACGACGACCAGGCCGTGCGGGCTTGTCAGAGCATCGTGCGCAGCTGGCTGGCCCGACGGCGGGGCACCCGACTCATCACCCTCGGTACGTCCCCGTTTACGCGCGCGCGCACACACACACGCCTCTTGCTCTCTCGTCTGATGGTCAACTCTTCGCTCTAGTGCGCGCCTACTCGGTGTCCCCCCACGCCAAGACGCAGAGGCGACGCTTCGCCACCATCCGCGAGTTCATCCAATCCGAGCGAAACTACACCGAAATGCTCCAACATGCCATCGAGGTAACCCATACCTCCTTCATGGCACGACACGCGACACGCGCAGACCACTCACTCATGTTCGCCCTCGTGAAGCACTATATGTTGTCGCTGCGCGATAAGGCGGAATTCGAGGCGAGCACGTTCTCCTGCGAGGACGTGGAGAGTCTGTTCAACAACATGGAGATGCTGGCCATCATCTCCCAGCAGTTCTTGCAAGCGCTCGAGCAGCGTTTTGCCAGCACCGACAAATTCACCTGCTATGGCGACATCATCCTCAAGTGCGCGTGTGTCGTGTGTCGTGTGTCGTGTGTCGTGTGTCGTGTCGCGTGTCTGACCAGGAGGCCATCACAGGTTTCAAACGGTGTTGCCGCTGTACTCAGTCTATTACCGCAAATACGAGGAAACCAACGAGCAGCTGCTGCGCCTCAGCGAGAACGAGGAGTTCAGCCAATATGTCGATGTACTTCTCACCACCACCAATCGCGTTTCAGTCCTCTTTCTCTAGAATGTAGAGCCACTCACAAGTGAGCTAACACACACACACACACACACACACACACACACACACACACACACACACACAACGACACAATGTTGCGCGACGACAGGAATTGCAAAAGAATTCGTCGTACAATCCCATGCTGGACCTCAAGGTCTACCTGTACCGGCCGTGCCAGCGCATACCCCAATACAGCATGCTGCTCAAGCAGCTGCTCTCCTACACACCCGGTACACGCCACTCCCGTGTGTGTTGTGTGTTGTGTGTTGTGTGTTGTGTGTGTGGTGCTCACGGCCGGTGTGATTTCTCCTGTGGCAGGCGAGCATGTGGACTACACCAACATCATGACGGCGGCCGAAAGGATCCAGACGATTCTCTCGCTGCTCAACAGGCGCACCGAAGTCGAACACTCCAAGAGGAAGATGCAAGAGCTGCAGAACAAAGTCACCGGTACCCTCCTCCGCCTTGTTCACGCGCCTCGCGCCGGTGGAGCCTCGGTGGGTCCTGAGCCTGACGCGCTGGGCCGCGGTGGTTGACCGTGGTGCGCGTTGAACGCCAAGGCTACGACAAGAATCTGGCGGACGATCGGGCGCGGCGGTTCGTCGAGGAGGACGCTGCTCCTCGGTGTGCACGCAGACCCGGGCAACACGATGAAGCTCGCCGACAACAGCACCAAGGGGTTGGTTCCCCACCGGCGGCTCATGTGGCCATCGTCGGAGCTCAACTAACACAAACATGGGTCGTGTGTGGTGGTGTGTGGTCGTGTGTTCGATCGAACCAGGCTCATGTCATTTGTCCGGCGGCCCAGCCCCTCGCTGTCGGCTGAGGTGAAGACCGTGCCCACGTCACAGCAGGCCGGGAGCTTGAAGGTGAGGCCGATCCGCGTCTTTGTCTTGTCGGACATGCTCTTGTACGCCCATCACCACTCTCTTTTCCTGTGTGTGTGTGTGTGTGTGTGTGTGTGTGTGTGTGTGTGTGTGTGTGTGTGTGTGTGTGTGTGTGTGTGTGGAGGAGTGTGTGCGGTGACACTTTATGCGTATCTCATCACACTGTGATCAGGTTCGCCAAGTCGCTGGGCAACGGCACCTACCGCTACAAGTTCAGCATTCCGCTTGGCGGGGCGGTGGTGACGGAGATGCAGGGCTTCGACAACACGCTCCTGATCAAGGCCAAGGGGGGCGCCGACCGCTTCTTCCTCTTCAAGGACGCCGCCGAGCGACGCAAGTGGACCGCCACGCTGTGGCCCATGATCCTCGTGCTCAGCGCCGACGGCCGGGTCAAGCCCGACGTACGCCTCAACATCTCGTCTTCAGGTCTCTTCAGCTCACTTGCAGCCAATTCCTCTAACACGAACACACACGAACACACACGAACACACACGACACACACGACACACCGACGCGCAGATGCGGCGAAAGATGAACCGCGGGCATCACATGCGCCTGACACACATCGGGATGACCAACCTGATGAAGGTGTCGCTAGGCCAGGAGCCCGGCGAGACGCCCGAGCTCGACCACTCGCTGGGCCGCGGCGACGAAGAGACCTCCTCGCCCGCCTCCCCCACCACCACCTCCCGGCCGCCGCTGCCGGTCGTGGTATTGGGAGGGATTACCACCTCTGCCGAGCTCCCGGCCGAGGAGGTGGTCGAGCCCCGGGTGCTGCTGAGCTCGCAGACGAAGCTGCTCTCCCCGCGCTCTCCACGCCTAGCGGCAGTGCCCACCGGCGCCGCGGCACCATCCGATCCTGACGTCGGCAAAGAAGACAGCAGCAGCAACAACAACGAAGTCGACGAAGAGAACGAAGACGGCGGCGGTAGTAGCTCGGCGAGGCGCGGAAGCAGTGCTGGTGGGGAGGGGAGGGACGGCAGGAGAGAGAGGCGTCAGTCCACCGTGCGGCGGAGGGACGAGGAGGAGCAGCAGCAGCAGCGCGAGCCGTCGCAGAGGAAGCGCAGCCGACGCGACAAGCAGCTGCCGCCACTCATAAGGGGCAGCGACCGCGAACGTGATAACAAGCCCAGCAGCCCGGCGAGGCCGCCCACCACTCGGCCACCGCACCCGAGCGCGGCGTGGCTCGAGGCCGACCACGACGGCGACCGGAGCCGTCAGCGCCGAGCGGAGGAGTCGTCGTCATCGGCGTCGCGGCGGCTCAGCACCAGCAGCATCCGGTCCGACGCCTCACGCGCCTCGCGGCCCGCCAAGACCACGCCGTCGAGCAAGTCCGCCTACCACTCACTCACCGGCAAGACCCATCACGGCAGCAAGGAGCGAGAGAAGAGGCCGACCGCCTCGAGCCGCTCGCAGATCGTGAGGGGCAGCGGCCGCCCGGCCGGACCCTGCAGGTCTGGTGAGGCTCGAGACGGTAGCGGCGGCGGCGGCGGCGGCGGCGGTGGCGGCGATGGTGAGAACGGCTCGCGCAGCTCGGAGGTCAGGGCAACGGAGACCTTGGTGCGCAAGCGAACGCGCAGCAACAGCTTCGACGAGGCGACGATCAAGCGCTTCGTCGGGGCCGCGAAGTTGGAGAATAAGAGCAGCGGTACTCCCGCCGGCAGCGCCCTCACCAAGACGACCGTCACCAGCAGCCCTCGGCGTCGGCCCCTCAGGCGCAGCACCAGCGCCAACAATCCCACCCCTTCCGACGCCGCCTCGCCTCGCACCGACGACGACGATGAGGATCTCTCGAGGAGGAGGGCGGAACGGAAGAGCTCTACGGCCACGGACAGGCGCGGCTCCAAGGCAGGCCTGCGCGTCTGATGTCAAGGACGGGCGGACTGCGTTTAGTTGATCGTTGGTGGTGGTGGGGGGGTGATATTATGTTCGTTGTGTTTGTGTTGTGTTTCGTTGTGTTTTGTTTTGTAGAGGATCTCGCAAATGGTCACCAGTTCTCTTCTCCTCACTACGACGCATCAAGACGCGAGGGCGTCCCTCAATTTCTCGGGCTTGTTGGTGGGCAGCTTGCAGGTGAAGTTCTCGCACACGTAGGCCGTGGCTGCTCCGTCGATGGGCTTCATGTCTGCAGCGTTGTGTGTGTCGTGTCGTGTGTCATGTAAGAGATCGGTCCAAGGCGATTGATGGATGGCGAGTGTACCCTTAATCAGAGCGCGGTAGGAGGAGAGGAAGTCTTGTCCCTCGCGCCCGTCGGCATAGAGCAGTACCCGATTGGGGATGAACTGGGACCGCACCTCCTTGAGCAAGGCCGCCGTGTCCTCCGCCTGCAACGCCCAGCTCTCAGTCAGCGCAGGCAGAGGGTACCGGTAAAAAAGAATGTAGAACACGTCAGAGAGCGGCGAAGTACGTTCGGGTCGCCGGCGATGACGATCTGCTTTGCTGTGGCTCGGCTAAAGTCGAGCGAACACAACATCTGCGGCACCATCAACGGTGCATCTTTGGCGGGGCACACGGTGAGCCGAAGTGGCGCTGGTGATGATGGTGGATGGTGGGCGGGGTGATGCGTACTGATGATGGGTCCCTTGCACGAGGAGAAGGTGGCCTCGGCCTTCTTGTACCAGTCATCGCTTCCCGTCATGTGCCACAGGCGCACCAGGTTCATGGCTGAGATGGCTGCGCAGGAGCACACCACACCAATGTCAGGCGTGTGAGGGAGATACATGAAAAGACCCGCATGCGCAGGTGAAGGGGGGGTACAGTTGCTCGAGGGCTCAGCGCCGTCTTGGTCATCGCGCACGCGCGCCAGCAACGAAGGGTCGTCTTTGACAGTATTGAAATAACCACCTGGGGTCCAACCGACACTGTGGTCAGATCTGGCACAGGTGATGGGGGCGACGGGAAGGAAGCACACGCACCTGTTGCGGTGTCGTAGAAGAGGTCATCCTGCCGGTGTTGTAGTCTGACCGCCCACCGCAACCATCGCACCTCCGCCGATGCCTCGTATAGATCTGGCAATTACTGTCAGCAGGTGTCGTGTCGTGTCGTGTCGTGTGTGTGTCGTGTCGTGTCATGTCGTTGGTGTTACCCAGTAGAGCTTGGACCATGAAGGAGTAGTCTTCGGAGAAGCCGCGGACGTTGCCGCGCCCATCTCTCCAAGTCCGGTACAGTATGGCCTCCTGATCGTCGTAGAGCTGGTCCCTGATGAACTGCGCACATTTGCTGGCCGACTCCGCGTAGCGCTTGTCGCCCAGCACCTCCGATGCTCTGGCATAGGCCGAGATCATGAGTCCTGCAGAAGAAGAAGAAGAAATAAATAAGGCACAAGGAAGAAGAGATGGATATGATACGCGGACAAACCGTTCCATGATGTGATGATTTTGTCATCGAGGTGAGGTCGAGGTCGTTTGTCTCGTTCGTGCTTGAGCTTTGCCTTGCTTTCCATGGTCAGCTTGTCGACGTAATCGACCTTAAAACCAAACTCCAATGCCGTCTCCTCTGCGGTGAGCTTCTCGGCCAGCACGCTGTCGACACACACACACACACACACACACACACAGAACACACACAAACGAGAGTGAGCGTCCGGTCAAGGAGAAGCTGAGCAAGTGCAACTCACTTCTTGTGCTTGAGCTCGCCTTGAATGTCTGCCGGCGCTGGTACGTTCCCCTCCGGCAATACTCTATATGGGTCGAACGAAATGAAATATGCACAACAGCGCTTCAGCAGAGGAAACAAACCGTGAGGCGCGGACGAGGGCGCACGTACCCGTAGCGGTGAGCGAAGATCTTACCATCCTGCTCCCCGAGGGCTTTGATAACCTCGTCGTACTCCCACACGTAGAACGCGCCTTCCACCTTCTCGTCGCTGTCGGGCGATACCAAACTGTCGGCGTCTTCGGCGCTGTAGAACGCTCCTGCGCCGTCAAGGTGTGTCGTGTGTGTGTGTGTGTATGTGTGTGTGAACCAACACTGTCGGGGATAACCGAGATGGTTGTTTCGTACCCTCTGGCGAAGTGATCTTGGTGGTCACGTATTCGAGCACGTCCTCGGCCACGTCGGCAAACACGGGCTCGTCGGTTATCTGGTAGGCGCTCAAGTAGGCCATGGTCAACTGCGATTGATCGTACAACATCTTTTCGAAACTGCGCGAGAGAAAAACGATGCGATAACGGTCAGCCATCAGCAGGGGCGCAGGAAGACACACAAGCCAGAGCGATGAGACGAGAAGGAGCCACGCACTGCGGGACCAGCCAATCTGCAGTGACACTGTATCTGTGGAAGCCTCCATCTGACGGTGATGACGCGTTGTCACCAATGCACGTGAGGCAAAGAGAGAAGCGAAGGAGAAGACGAAGGAACTACCGATGTGGTCGTAGATGCCTCCCCGGGCCATCTTGGTGAGTGTGACAAGGGCCATGTCCATCGCTTTGGTGGCCTTCTCGTTCAACTCGAGCCCCTCCTTCCGGTGACCGTACACGCGAAACAGGAAGTTCAAGGTGGCGAGCCGTGGGAACTTGGGCGCCCTGGTGAAGCCGCCGTGCTCTTCGTCGTAGGACTCTGCCAAACTTTTGAGCGCCGCGTCGTAGGCTCTGTGTATGAAAAGAACGCCGCTGGAAGTGAGCGCGTGACGCACTTCCAGAAGCAGGAGCTTGAAGAAAGGTACATCTCAATGGAGTCATCGTCGATTCCCTCCACCTCCTTGCCGGCAACAGTCATGTACTCCTGAAGAGCGTGTGCCGTATTGTCTGCCTCGGCCTTGAGCTGGTCTTGCTTCTCTCTCCACACCTTTGTAAATGCGACAAAGAATGAACGCGAGAGCAAATACAACATCTGCTCTCTCCACCATAAAAGCGCCGCACCTTGTCCACGTTGTGAATAAGCGTGTCGAAGCCCGGACGGCCGTACTTGGAGGTAGGGGGAAAGTAGGTTCCACCCACTATACAAGGTGGTGGTGGTGGTGGTGGTGGTGGTGGTGGTGGTGGTGGTGGTGGTGGTGGGTTATTAGCTGAGTAGAGTGCGGGTAATGGACGTGCGGCACACACCTAGCGGTTTGAGATCGGGCGTGAGGAAGACACTGAGTGGCCATCCGCCATGTCCGGTCGTTGCTGTGACATAGGTCTGGAGTGGGTGAGTAACGCGCGTGGACATTACCAGCTGAATGAAGCTTCACTGTACCATGTACAATCGGTCGACATCAGGGCGCTCCTCCCGGTCAACTTTGATAGAGACGAAGTTGTCGTTGAGCAGCCGCGAGATCTTCTCGCTCTCGAAGCTCTCTCGCTCCATGACATGGCACCAACTGTTAAAGGGTGCGAGCGAGGGTTTGAGTTGAACGGCTCTACCCTACACGGCACATGACAAACAAGCGTGTGGGCACGTCACTGGCAGGTCGAGTAGCCGATGGACAGGAAGATGGGCTTGTTCTCCCGTTTCGCCTTGGCAAACGCCTCCTCGCCCCAGGCATACCTGCAGACCCACAGGGGTGTAAGCAAGCAGCCCCCCCTCTCTAGAAACAAGGTGAGGTGGTGCAGTACCAGTCGACTGGGTTGTGCTTGTGCTGTAGTAGGTAGGGCGACTTCTCTGCCGCCAGTCGGTTCTCTTTGCGCTGAGGAGGAACCGCAGCAGGTGTAGTGGGAGCGGTGGAGAGGTGAGGGCCGCCACCCGTGTACCTGGTGGTGGCAGCAGCCGTAAAGTTGCGGCGTGGGTAGAGGCGGGCTGCTGCGGCCTGCTTACTCAGCGGGCGAGCTGCACTCGAGCGCGCAAGAAGACGGCCACTGGCGCCCACAAGAGGGGCGCCTCCAGCCAAGTAGCGTCGCATCTTCGGTATTAGTTGTGGCCTTCTTCCTTCGTACGCTGTTGTTTTAGCACCTGCTTTGTTTTCCGTTGCTTTTGCCTCGAGTTCGCCAAGAGGTTGGCCAAACTGCTGGCGAACAAGACTGTTGTTCTGTACATGCGTGAGCTTCATAGAGCGGGAGGGCTACTTGGCTAGCTGCTGTAGCTCCACGGTCTTGCTCTTGATCCGTTCGTGTGTTGCCTCGGCCTCGCACGCTGCAAACTGCTGGCGAACAAGACTGTTGTTCTGTACATGCGTGAGCTTCATAGAGCGGGAGGGCTACTTGGCTAGCTGCTGTAGCTCCACGGTCTTGCTCTTGATCCGTTCGTGTGTTGCCTCGGCCTCGCACGCTGCGTTGTCACGGTCTGGTGTTGCAAAGACGGTTATGGCGGCGGATCGCTGCGTCTTCATAGGATGACACGTACCTCGCTGCACAAGTCCCTCGGCCTTCTGCTTGGGCAGGTGGATGAAGAAGTCACCAGCACAGTACCAGACCTTCGACTCTGCGTCTGGCTTGGCCAGGTACCCGAGTGCCTGCTTGTTTCGCTCTTCTCGGATCTCGTAGTTCCTCAGCTGCCGGCAGAACACGGACGGTTAGGGTGTGCATGTGGGGAGCCAGGATGAGCCCATACCGTTTGCTTCTCGGTGGCGATGTCTTCGCGAAGAGCCTCATACTCGACCGCTTGATCAATCGATAATCGCGACATAAT